CGAAGCACTCACACTGGAGAAGTGGCCCCAACACACACCTGGAAAAACATCAGACATCTTGGTGTAGAGAAGCACATTCAGAAAAGGTAAGATACTGCGGAAAAACCTCAAGCTCCCAGGCCTCTGGTAGAGAAAGAAGCCACCCGACCCAGGAGTAAAAGGTGTGAATGAAAGAGCAGATTTATTTTAAGTTCTATGTCATTTTGGACTCAAAGCTTAAACAGCGTTTAACTCTTCAGCCAGTTCTTAAATCTTTCAAAGTCCTGATCACTCTACAAGACACTAATACAGCCCAGCTGCAATAGGTTCATATTCAGAATACAAACTTCTGAAAGTACTTTAGGTATGTAATTATTACATACTTCTAAATAAATTATGAGTGTTTTTAATTAAGAGTAATTTAATTTGTATGTACTTACCAGAGAATTCATGTTTCTCAAAGAACACTACTGCCACCTACCAGTTTGTGACGTCACGGTGTGGTATCGGCTGTTGAGCAAGTCCCAGTGCTGTATCTGGTGTTTGTCACAATTAGCTATTATTCATGATGGCGACGACCAGTGCACTATGCAAAGCAGAGAGTAACACATTAATGATTCCATAAAAATAAAAAATAAAAAATTCAAAAATATCCACTGGACTTGGTTTTCAAGATTTGAAGACGTTTCGCCACCTCTCCAGGAAGCTTTCTCAATTCAAATGTCTGGATCCGCAGTGAGTTTGAGTCTTATATGGACAAGGCCTTGTATTGCTTGGAAACATGCAATGGTAACCGATGAATGGGTCGTTTAGTTCCATCGTTAGCCTGAAAAATCTGAACCTGTCTATGATTTCTAGGGGTCGGGGCGTCGGGGCGTTGTGCACCCGTCTTCTCTTCCTCGAGTTCGTATATCCCGCAAAGTTGCTCGACTGCAGATAGGGTGGCCAGATGTCCGGCTTTAGGGCGGACAGTCCGGATTTTCATTGCACTGTCCGGCGTCCGGCGCTGCACCCAGCCGGACATGTATTTGTCCTCCTTTACCCCCAGATTCCACATACTCCGTCAGCGCTCCGCCCCGCTCACGTACGGAGTACTTGTCTGTCATGTAAATCAATGAGAGCTGTTCCACATCCTCCGCTCGTCACCGCCCACGTACGTCTTCTCCGTCCTTCACCGTCAAAATACGGAGCTGAGCTATTTTTTGCTCCCCTCCGGTCCGTCCAGATCAAGACCCGCTATTGCAATCGCACCAAACAGAAAAAAGAATGTAGAGAAGACCCGGTTTGTCAAATTAAATTATAGTAAAAATAGATCGGTATCTAGAAATTAGAGCATAGTTTGTATATATTCCCAAAAACTAAGAGCAATTAATTAAATAATTGGATGCAGACTATTGGTGCTTCAACAGACCAGGAAGAAGTTGTGAGATTCTAGAGTGAATCTCACAACTTTAAAAGAAAATTCTTATTGCAGGAATGGATGAAGAGATGATGAGTTTGGAAGCAGAGAATAAACAGAGTTCATACAAACTATGTATGATCCTAGTTATCCCTGTTACAAAAATCGGCAACAGAAAGAAAATATTTGGGCAGAAACTGAACATCTGCTGGATGATGATGGGGATTTTTTTAATATGTCAGATTCAATTAAGCGTTCACAGGTTTTATACAGGAATGAGGAACTCTAATTTAATGCTCTTTTAATGCTATTAGAAATAATTTTAATGCCATCAACAAGTATCATGTACACAAGTTATTAGTTTACATGAAATAAGGAGCTGTAAGCACAGTTCCATGACTCAAGTTTATATATATATATATATATATATATATATATATATATATATATATATATATATATATAGATAGATAGATAGATAGATAGATAGATAGATAGATAGATAGATATATAGATAGATATGGATAGATAGATATATAGATAGATATGGATAGATAGAGAACATGGTGAAATCATCTTTACTCTCGACAGGCTGCAGCCATGTCATGAATTCCTCTTTTCCAGCCACTTTTTGCAGTTTGCATCGTCCTATTCTCTAGCTCTTTCTCGAGCTTCTTTTCCAAACAACTGCTTTATGATCAATTGCAGCAGTTCTGCGCAAATTAATTGTGTTAAAAAAATGGTCACTTTTTAAACACCACAATGTATTAAATAAATACAAATGCTGGGAACCAATTCTTTTTTACATTTCTTTAATATTTTGTTCTATTCAGCTACACAAGCATCCTCTTTAAACTACTAAGAATTGTGCTATAAATGTGACTTTACCCGATTCTTATGTACACCTTAGTAATTTATTGATATGCCGCACAATGTCCTCCTTTTTGGTGCTATAGAAATGGCCACCCTAACTGCAGAGCCGCCATCTTGTCCTCTATGGACTACAACCTGGAGTGCATCGAATTCTCCAGCTGAGTGAGGCGCTCATTCATGTCGGCAGTATGTTGGGCAAGCTGACGAGACAGTCCGCTGATAGCAATCAGCAGTTTCTTCTCGTCAGTCTGCGGGCTGGCCGAAAGTTGTGGACTAAGAGCAGTTGGAGGCGAGTTGAACGCGAGACGTCGTGCAGCCATTGTTCACGTAACAACAAAATACAAACACGGTAACTGGAGATGAAGCTCTTCTGAGTATAGTAACACAAACATGTCTGCTAATATGCTGGTCTCGCGAGAAGTCGTAGTGCACAAAAGCTCACACGTGATTGGACGATGGGGCCGAAGGCTCATCAGGCTCCTCCAATCACATACGACGTCATTGTTATACGGAAGGACTCGCGAGAAGAGCTCGCGTCGCTCCATTCTGGAAGGTGGCGGTAATGCACCTATAAATTGTTTGCAATTGCAATTGTTTGTCTCCATAAGATTGAATTTGAGCAGGTGGACATTAGAGATAATAAATGCAACAACAAGTTTTTGAATCAATATTCTATAAATAATATGTACCCAGGAAGAACAAAAAGCACAGCTCTCTTACAAAATTTTAAGAAATCTATGATAGTCAAAATTAGGACAAATTATTTGAAATTCCCAATTCCTCCTAAATATAAAGAATTACAATTTAAAATAATAAATAACATATATCCTTCAAATGAGTTTTTAAGAGAGAGATTTAAGTTTAATGTTGAGAATTGTGGCTTTTGTACAACTCAATTGGAAACAACTAAACATCTTTTTTATGAATGTAAAGAAGTATTAAACTTATGGGATCAACTTCGAACCTTTCTGTCTTCTAAAACAATAAATTTAGATTTTATTTCCTGGCAAAACATTTAATTCGGTTTATCCATTAAAGAAAAAAAATTTGGAATTTTTTATTAATATTCTAATAATTGTAACAAAGTATTATATCCATAAATGTCGCTATGCAAAATGCTCCCTCTCAATCTCTGCTCTCAAAAATGAACTTTCCCTTTTCAAAAGATGTCTGAGAAAGATGCAGAATTTAAATGCAATTAAATTGTTTGAGTTAATTGAAGAATTTCAGTTGGTAGTCCCCACTGATTAATTTACTTTAACTACTATTATTATTTTATTTATTTTTATTTATTTTATTTTATTTTATTTTATACTTTTTTCCAGCCTGTGCATTTAATTTTATTTTTCAAAAGCAGGAGTTGTGATATTTCTTCTTGTATTGAAATATTTGTTATTGACTTGTTGTTTGAGATTGTTATTGTTTTCTTATATATTCAATAACAAAAAAAAAAAAAAAGTGGAAATCTAAAAAAAAAATTAACCATTACAGCCAACTGATTCTGATTAAAACTAATTTTTGAAGTAAATTATTTTGTGTATTTTTTTTTTACATAACATTTGCATACACAGTAATCTAGCGTACTTTAATTAAATAAATCAATTCAAGCTAAAATGTAAGAGTCTATAATTAGGCTATACTGAGCCTGATCTATTTCTACCATCTATTTGGGGGATATTTATTGCCACACTTTGGGCCACTTAATACCAATTTAGCATGCTGACCTATGACCTTATGACCACAGTGTACCAATCTTCTGATGGCTACTTCCAACAGGATAATGCGCCATGTTATAAAGTGAATCATCTCAGAATCATTTCTTGAAACTTTTCCACTTAAGTAATTGTGAATTGAGCATATTGACAGACAACATTTTATTTTTTATCTTAAATGCAAATTTAAAAAAAAATAATTACTGCTCTAAATGTATTGCTCTGTCAGCTAAAGATCTGTTTTGGTCTCTATACTTTAATTAAATAAATCAATTCAAGCTAAAATGTAAGAGGCTATACCTGATCTCTTTGTATCAGAGATTTTCTTACCCAGGGTTGCAGGGGGGGTAAAACCCCCCCTGCAACCCTGGTTTGCATTTGTATAGCTCACAGCATGTTCATTTACATGTTAAAGCCTCCCCTAGAATTCCATGGGGGGGAGGCATGGGGGGAACACTGCCTAAGAAATTCCACGTCAATTTCTGACAATTTACGGGAGTTTACGGCAAGGCCTGCAAATTGCCGTAAACTGCCGCTAACCTGAAGTTCCACGACAATCTACAGTGCCGTATATTGACGAAAATCCCACTTTTCATGCAGTGGAATATACTAAAGTATGTCAACATCTAGTGAAGGTGAAGATTGCTAAAGTGTGTGTTTGTATGGGGCACAGTGTGGTCGGTTGGCGGGAGGGGCACTGGCCCCTGTTGGCCCCTGACTAGAACCGCCCATGTGAGAACACTTACACTCAAGCAGAGGTGGGTATAGTTACATCTGCATGACAAACTTTAAAAAAGTTGAATGTTTTACCTTCTTTTTGACTATTTGGCTCAATCATTCTTGATTATTCCTTGAATATTTTGACTGATGTTCAGTTATTTTCCTTCATCATGGAAAACACCTCAAATAAATCACTTCCTAATTCTAATCACTTTATATCCGACTGTAATATACATAATAATCAAACTAAGCTCCATCACCTGCAGCCTGAATTGTTTCTCACGTGCAGCAGCAGAGGAGAGAGGAAGCAGTCTAGTATTATTATTTTTTTTTTTTTCCACCCCACAGTCCCTCCATCCAATCACGTGTCCGCGCTGAGCATCCTTCCAGTGGGCAGACTGGCGTGTCTTTACTGGCTTGCAGAACCATGGACCAGTTGGGCCGGTTCCGCGCATAACTGCAGGTTACATGTCATTTTCCTGCGTGGGTTTTCCTCCGCAGCTGATCCGCTGCGTGTAACAGCGCAGGTAGGTTTCTGCTCACTGTTATCAAACAGCCTGCGTGGAATCGATCGTGAGTGGGTCGCTGTGTGCGCTGCAACAAAGACGCGTGTAATATGCGTGTAATAACATCTCGGCTCTACAGATGGAAGTTGTTTTTGCTTTGATTGTGCAGCTTTGATCCTGGATTGTGGAGCTGCAGGCAGCGCGTTGTGTTTAGGATGTGTCAGGATTACTAGGGGCTGTGGTTTTCCTGCGTGTGTTGGGTGGCGTTAATAATCATTATGTGCTGCAGGGCTGTGCATGATGCATGGTGGAGTACATTAGTGTGGGCTCCAGAGAGGAGCAGAGGCTCACTCATATGAGGATAAAAAGCATCAGTTCATCATAGGCTGCAGGGAGGTCACTGTAGTAATGACTCAGCAAACATCTGTCTAAAAACTGCTTCACGTTACTATGAAACCAGACAACATTGGACTACTGGACATGTCTCAGCCTTTAGATTTCATACAAATAACCTTTTCTACTGTATAAAGTAATATATGCTATCAGTTACAGTCTGTAAGAAGAAAAAAAAAGAGGATTTTAGTGTCTGAATTACCAAAATCAGTTAAATGTTGTTGGTTAACATCTTTCAAGATGTGAAACCTAGTATTAACTCTCCACGCCTTCCTCCTTCACAGATTCAGGTGTTTTAGTCCACATCCTACCTCTCCTTTTGCTAAGAAATGTTGCATCCAGTCAGCAAGAGATTAGAATCTGACAATTATTTCTAATCAATGATTGGTGATTCGGGTACTGTCTCTCTTGTGGTTTGAAAATGCACCAACTGACAGCATTTACCTCCAAATATTTCCTTTGGTTTTGATCATAGAAAGGTTAGAAACATTTGCTCTAATAGGAGATTTATATGTAAAATATATATATATATATTAGGGGTGGAACGGTTCACAAAATCCACGGTTCGGTTCGGTTCACGGTTTCGTGGTCACGGTTTTCGGTTCGGTTCGGTATGTTTATTGTTACACCGAAAAGTAAAAAAATTAATAAAAATTATAAAAATTTATTACATTTTTTTTTTATGAAATTAATGAAAAAATCCAAAAAAATTAATGAATTGTAATTATTTTTAATGATTCACGGAAACCATGGATAATTTCAGCATGTTTTGCTGCTTTGAATTTAATCATCTGGCGCATGCCCTCTACGATCTCCAAGGAACTCAGGGCGGAGCGGACGGGAGCCACAGCGGCGGCTGTAGGCTTTGCTTTGCGCATGCGGTCTGGAGTGCAGCGGAGCGGAGCGGAGCGCTGACGGAGTATGTGGGATTTCGGGGTTAGCATGATATGTTGGTCATGTTGCTGTTAGCATAAACAAAACGTGTTGTACAATGCTTGCACACTGTTGCACTTTTATCCACAACTTTCTTTCCGCCGTCATCGTAGGTCACTCTAAATGCAAAGTGGTCCCATACAGCAGACCTATAAAGTGCTGCTGGCGCGTCTTCCAACTCCTGTTCTTTCCCACTCGCCATACCCACACAATTCTCCACAACAACTGATTTTTTCTGCTACACCCGGCTACGCTGCTTCGCTTCTTCTTCTTGTTTACTACTGGTGGTTGGCTTTGGTCACAGTACCGCCACCTTCTGCTCTGGAGTGTAAATGCTTCCCCTATAAGAAAAAGGAGCAGCGCATGAATCGAACGCAACACACACGAATCGAACCGAGACAGTCGAACCGAACGGTTCGGACAGTTTTCATAAACCATTCCATCCCTACTCTGTGCCTGTTTTTTTTTTTTAACCTACCAAAGTCCAAGTGCTTCTATTCTTCATAAATCCTGGGAGCAGAGGGCATACATCATGATTGGATAATTTGATGTAGAGCCCTAATAATTGTCTATTAAAATTCCTTTGATTTATGTTTTTTATTTGAGTATCTTTTAATCCATTCAAGAAATTTTGTGCAACTAAAACAAGTGTCAGGATGAAGATATTCCAAATGACGTTTTATTTTTTCCGTTTAATATATTTGTACGTTAAATTTGCTCTCAAAGTATGTTATGCTGGTTGTTTGAGCGAGGTTGATTAGATACCACCTCCTCAATTGTGTCGGTGAATAATTCGAAAACATCATGAAACAGCACAGATTTCTATCTGAATCCAATTACATGTCTGCTGGTAGTTTCTGGTTCTAATACTAAAATTCATAGACATATGTGACTCTGGAAGAAATCTGTGATTTATAGAAATATGGTTTTGTTCAGCTCTTTTTAACCCTTGACTACGGTAAATACAGAATAAATCTGGGAGAATGCTGCAGTTTATTTACTAAGTTAACTGCAGTAAAGTCACAATCTTACACTTTCTGTTTGGTAAAAACCAGTCAGTGTTTGTCAGTGTGTGCTGTGAAACTCTGCAAGATGTCTCTGAAATGGAGCCAAGACCAACTCTCGTTCTGTGTGTTTGCAAAAGAATCTCATATCAAAGGATTTATGTTTTTACAACTGCAACCGTTTTCAGGGTGATTCTTATAGAAAAATCAACCATTTTAAAAACTGTCATTTATTATAGTTTAAGTGACTGATATGTTAGGCCAGTTTTTTTGCATTTCATAATGTTTAAAATCTTCTTTAAATATTTAAAATCATCAAAATATCTTTTAATGAGCTCTTTACAGACCTAAAATCACTATGCACTGATCCAAAATAATTCCCAAAAGCTCTAAAGTCAGACCCAACCAACTAATTTAAAGTGTAACTCACCCCTTCAAAAACATAAGGTCCACCCCCAGAAACACTTTGAAAATTGCGATGAAGGTGCCCAGAGACCCTGGGGGACAAGTCATTTGTGGGGATTAGAAGTTGGGACGAGAGAAAATGGCACCTAGCTTAATCTAATCTAGAATATTGAATATTCCTTTCCTTATTGAAGCATGGAGAGTGAGCAGAGAGATTCTGGTAATAATGCCACAGATAGTCCCTTAAATGTAGGACAATATCTCACCCCCCTCTACACTAGAGGTATGCAGAGGCTTTGTGGAGCCCTGCAGGCTTCAAGTGTAAAACAGCCTAAAAGGGTTCTAGTCTCTGGAATTGCGCATTAGAGACCTTTCCCTAATCTATTCTCCTTCAGATGGAGCCCAAAAACTGTGTTGGAGCTAAATAAATTACTAAAGTGGTAAACGTGAAAGGATATTAACAAAAAAGATGAAGCGGGTACTATGCTTCAGTGCATGCTGTGGCGCTTTTGTTCATCTTTTCAAGTCATAAAAAGCCATGAGCTTCCTGTGAGTGCTGATGGTAAAGCCCAGATAGCTGCATTCAGTGCGAAGGATATAATTCAGAATTGCCTTTGAGTGCTAATAATAAAGCTGCATTAGCTGCCTTTTGGTGCTAATGGTCAAGCTGTAGATGTTGCCTTTCAGAGCCTACAGTAAAGCTCTGTTAGTGTTTTTTGGTGGTAATAGTTAAGTTCTGTTAACCACTTTCAAAGCTAATGGTAAAGCTCTGTTAGCTGACTCACAGCACAGACAATAAAGCTCAGTTCTCTGCCTTTTGGTAAAGCTGTGTTAGCCACCTTTCAATTCTGATGGTTAGGTGATATCAGTTGCATTTTTGGTGCTTTCAAGTTGTGTTGGTTGCCTTTTGATATGTTAGATGATAGATCAAGCTACAGTTTGTTTAAGTCACAGCTAAAACTGGAGTAGAAAGATATATATCAATATATAAACATTAACTGTTACAGGTATTGCTCGATTGCAGGTCAGGGCTGTTGATAGGATCGGTTTTGTCATGATTTTTATCTAAAGTCTGACCCCTAGATACAGAAGACCAGACAGAGACCAGGGAAAAGTTAAACAGGTTTATTAGAGAATGATGATGTAACCAGTGCTGCTCAGAGTAGAAGGGAATGAGGCCAGTGTTGCTCTGAACACTGCTCAACGGGAACTGGAAGGTGAGGGGAACACACTGCGGTTAGTTCAGCCTCGGGCTGCGTGCTGAAGAAACCTTTGCTTGCTGTGAAGCTCAAACGACCTCTTGGAGAAAGTAGATTCAAACTTCCTGTTTGGAACCCCAGCTCAGTTAGAGGCTCAGTTGATCCTTCCAGAAAGAGAAGGTCCGAACAAATCCAGTTTGCAGGATGACTTCCTGCCGAGAGGCCAACACAAAAACAAAGTTAAGACTCAGGTTGACAAAAACTCAGTTTGACTAGAATATCCAATAGTGATGGGCTATCTGAAGCCAGGCTTCGAGGCTTGTACCGATTAATAAGGGGGCGTGTCAATGAAGCCCCGCTTCGAGGCCTGTGTTGTCTTGTTGAAAACCACGTGACTGGCAACAAACGAGGCCTCGCATTGCATTGGTCACGTGACTGCTTCATTTTGCGTGTCGGTTTTCAAAATAAAAGCGCGATGAATCCTGTTGCTTCGTGGGTTGTAGTAGGTGGTTTGGTATCAGCAGAACAGTTTTCATCAGCAGTGGTTGAAATGGAGCCGTCAAAAAAGAGAAAAACCTCTCATATGTGGGAGTATTATGAGATGACAGATCACAATCACAACCTGAAACAGTGAAAAATGTCCTATTCCTAAATAAAAACAATTAAACCTAAAATCCAGAAATGTCTATATTTTCTTTTGTTTAATTAAGACTCTGCTAAACTAAGCATGGCTAGAGTACCCTGTATCGGCAAACACTCTGGAGTCAAGGTAGTGGCAGTCAGCAGCTTAAGAACACTCCACAGGTAATGAGGCAATGAGCTGCAGGTGTGCAGGGAGACCCAATGAGGACGGGGAACCACCTGGTGGAGGAGGAAAGGAAACACAAAAACAGACCACACAAACTGGATTCCTGACAGTTCTAAACTCTGGTTGATTAAGATTATGCATTGACATTTAGATGGTTTTGGACACAGTACTTTCACATAATCAAACAAATACCACCCTTTTGATGAGGCAGTATTTCCACTGATTCACATGTGACAGGGACCCCAGGCTATAAAAAACAACATAATCATAATCTGGAGCTCCTAATTCTTTACCCTTGAGCCTCAATGTTGATTTTTTTAACTATTTATCTGCCTTATTGTGATCAAGGTGTTAAAGTCTAGCTTTGCCCAGCCCAGTTGATGCCCCCTCCTGAATGATGTCACAGCAAAAGAGAGCCCCAAGATGTAGATACTATGACGAGAAAAAAAAAGAAGAGATCAAGAAAAACTGGAGCATTAATGTAAAGTGTATCAAAGTGAAGAAAAGTGGTGTCCATGCCCTTCAGCAGCCTAAGCATATAGCAGCATAACTATAGACAGCTAGGGTTGGACAATAATGAAATTACATTACAGTATAATTTTCATTAGTAAAGTATTTTCAAACAGGTCATAGTGGTCTAAGTGCTTATAAATGTGACTCACAACTATATTGCTCATGAAGTTTATATAAGAAAGAAAGATAAGAAATACAATAACTATAATTTATTACATCTTTTGGATCAAAAGAATATCCCTTTAATAGAGATAGATTAATGACATTTGAAATGGGGGTAGCACTGCTGCCTTACAGGGGTCTTTCTGCATGGAGTTTGCATGTTGTCCCAGAACATCTCTCTGGCTTCCTCCCACAGTCCAAAAACATGACTGTTAGGTTAATTGGCTTCTCTTAATTCTCCTAAGGTGTGTGTGTGTGAATGGTTGTTTGTCCTGTTTGTCTCTGTGTTGCCCTGCAATGGACTGGCGACCTTTCGCCCATAGACAGCTGGAGATAGGCACCAGCACCTCTCGCAACCCCACTTGGGATTAAGCATTTCAATCCAAGCTCCTACTTTGGTTGAAATTGGACAAGACTGTAATTGAACACTAAATGACATTACATTTTTTACAAATTTAGATTGGACCAAACTTAAGTAGGTGTGCATTACTCAGCATGCAAAAATGAAGATCCACTGAAAACCGTTTCTCATAAATTTAAACCTGTTTTTCTTTTACTCTCAGGTTATGCCACCCCAAAGTCTTCCAGGATCCCCTATCATGAAAGAGAAGGGCTAACCCCCGTCCTTCTTCAGGTTCCCGCTGCACCCCGCACATACACTATTCCTCCTAACCCCTTTTAACCTCTGATGTCCAGCCCTTAAAAGGTCTACTACCTTTTATCTCCTCTAAATTACATTTTGGCCACTATAGTTAACCCTCCTGCAGACCCTTGCTCTCTGCAAGCTGTCTCTCCAATTTTCCATTGGCTACCTGTAAGGACTCATGGCTACGGGAGGTCATGCTGCTGATTCAGATGTGCTGGTTAACTTACAACAGGTAAGAATGTGATTCTAAGTGTCTTAATTTAAAGAATATGGTAAAGAAGGATGTTATATGTTTTGTTCTCAATAAGACATTACACATAGGATTTGATGTAACAATTCTAAAACTGATGTATGTCAATGTTATAGTAATTTGTATGGGCAAATTTAGATAAATATTTTATTAAATTTTTTCCTAATGTTTTCATCAGGTTAAATGCTGTAAATTGTTTGAATAGCTCCTCTGAAGTTTGTTTCTGGGTTGTTTCTGTTCAAGTTCTTGTAGTTAAAACCGGCTAATGTGCTGGTTCTTCACTGCTAATAGGACAACCTCAAGTAGGAAGTACTGTGCTAGATTCAGGCAAAAGGTTTTATATTTGCAATATGTTATGCAACAAATCTAGCAGCAGAGATCAATAAAAGGAAATGTAGTCAGCTCTCAAATTAAAATCAAATTTGTTTATTTATATAGCAACAAGTCACAACACATGTCAGTATAAGGCACTTTATAGAGACAATTCAACCAGATCATACAGTCGATTGATTTAAAGTTTTCTATCTAAGGAAAACCAGCTGATGCATCGACTCATTGACTTAACAGCAATCCCCCACACCATGCATGCTAGTAGCGACAGTGGAGAGAAAAACTCCCTTTTAACAGGAAAGACCCTCCAGCAGAAACAGGCTCAGTGTGAGCGGCCATCTACTGAGGCCGACTGGGGTTCAAGGAGACAAGCAGAGATACAAATGACAACTTTCAACCAGCTCCAAGAGTGGCTCCATCCAGGAAACACACAGCCAGGCAGACGATCTACGAGCCAGCTGCCATGTCAGAGGACGAATGAGAGCACATATAGTTAGTCTTAGTCAGAGAAACAGGACTACTAAATTTTGACTATGAGTAGCAAAAAATTTTTTTCATATCTTTAAATCTTTCTATTAGGTCCTTCAATTTAATTCCCCACCAAAGCCATCCAATGATCTGAAACAAAGTCAAGAAAGCTTAAGCCAAAATAAGCTATGATCTATTCCTCTGAGACAGGCTGGGGATGCATCAACACATGTATTTAATTATATGCTTTAATCTAATTCATTTAAATTAGCACAGGCACCAAGTTCAAAGTCTGCTCAACATACAGCCTTCTTCCTGCAGGAATTTACTTGGAAAAAGTTCCTCACATCTCTCTCACATCAGCACCGTCATTAGTAGGATTATCTGGAGTGCAAGAAACAAGATGAAAATGTGTACAAAGCTGATTTGCTGTCTCTTCAGTTTCACCACATGGATAAGTTGTCCCTAGTTCTGTGGGAATTAGCTACAGTAGAGACGGCATGAATAAAAACCCTTCAGCTGTTCTCCAAATGACAGATTTTACCTTAAATTTTGATTGGTAGAAACTCATCCGCAGCTGAATAGGTGATTTGTCATTATGCATAGTAGGAACTGTGTCATTTGTATGGAGTCAGAAAGGGGTCAAAAAGTTTAGAAATTTATTTTAAATGTATTTTAATTATACTTTTTCCTCTTTTTATTTAATTTCTTTATTTCAGTTTTTAATTTTATAACTTGAGATTCAAATCCCTCTCCTTGAGTTTCTTTCTTTTTCTACACTGTTCCAGTGTAAAAACAGGAACTGAAAGTAATGGATTTGAATCTGAAAATATAACATCTAAAGCTGCAATACAGAAAAGAAATAATAAAAAAAGAAAAAGTGTAATTAAAATACTGAACAAAATTTAGAGACAATTCAAATTGTTTCATATTTGCCTTTTTACTTTCTCATATTATAAGGTAACAATTTCACATTAAATATCAACCTCTATTTTTTTTCTGTTTCAACTTTAATTTTTTTCTGTTTCAACTAAGATTTAGAAGTTTACAAAACTTTTGACCCCTTTCTGACTCCATACTTGTTTTGCCTGACCCATTGTGAGATGCATAACTGTACACATTCACCTCCAATACAAAGTGATTGTTCAGTCTGTGAAAAATAAAATAAAAAAGTAAATCTTACAGCAACAAAACATCATGTTTACACCATGTTCTCCAGATTCTTAATGAGACTGTCAGAAGAATTGTAGTTTCACTTTTCATAATGATTTCAGATTGTTATTTCAGAAGTGGTGTTGTGAAGGTTTGCATGGATAGGCCTAATAGATGCATAGTTGTTCACTATATCACAAATGCTTTTTGGCTAACCAATCCAAGACATTGATTTTAGTTTTTCAACTTGCATGACCACCGTTTATACATAGGGATGCAAGGACTGCCTCAGCAAACATTTGTGAAATGACTCAGCGGGCAATTGCAGCATGGTACTGTGAGAGGATGTAATTTGTTTTGTATGTCCATTCATTAAATTTCCTTGCTACCTACTAAATATTCTGTTGTCAACTGTTAATCGTGTTATTGCAAAAAGTGGAACAACAGAAAGTCACAAAGTTATAGGCTATGAGAAATCACAGATGTCTACACGTTCCGGCAGGATTTAGGGGGCCAAAATGTCCTCTGGCATAGAAGAACATATTGTCGCTCTATTATGTCCTGTAGCCCTATAGGACTCCTCCCAATGTCATATGTCTGGATAATCTTTATTTTCAGGGTGTCATCGACATTTTGTCTATAGTCCCTTATAGTCCAAATATATTCCAAGAATTCTATATTCCCGAATTTTAACAAACAAAATATATCAACCAACTAGATAATATAAAATAAGAAAATAATGGTGTAGTTTTAAACTACTGTTGTATTTCTAAGTCTAGTATAAACCATACATAGGGCAGGTCAGTCAAAACTAACCGGAACAGATATGAGGCAAAAGATAAATATTCTAAATCTTTTCAAATAATCATAAACAGCAACTGCAGGGTAAAAAGCAAAGCATTGCATTAAGATTTTATTCAATTTTGAAGCGTGCCTGCTACTTTAGCTAAAGAAGCTCAACATACAGAGAGTACCAAACACCTTTAGGCAATGAGCAGAATAAAGGCTGCAAAAACTGATTCTACTCATTTCAAAGTTAATCCGATTTAACTTTTTATCTATTAAAGTATATTTCCTTGGTGGTTATCATATTATGTGGTTAACTTTGCTCCAGTAAGGGGTATAAAAGGCTTTTGTCCCTGACATGCATGCATTATTATTATCATAGAATTCTTAAGTGTTTTTATATTTTTAAGCAACAGTGGTTCCCTTAATATGTTTGGATTTAAGACCCATTTCATTCCCAGCACTCTGCATACTACCTTCTAAAAAGCATCAGAAATTTACTGAAAAATAAGTAAAAGTTAAATGCATTAAAAAAAAAAGGAAACACACTTCAGTACTAAGAGATGTACTGGAGTAAAGGGAAAAAAAAGCCATAAGTTATAGACCTTTCATGTAAGAGCCACATTTCTGTATTTCTGATACTGTAGTTGCAATGCTTTACACTCACTGGCCACTTTATAAGGCACACCTGTCCAACTGCTCGTTAACACTTAATTTCTAAGCAGCCAATCACATGGCGGCAACTCAGTGCATTTAGGCATGTAGACATGGTCAAGACAATCTCCTGCAGTTCAAACCGAGCATCAGTATGGGGAAGAAAGGTGATTTGAGTGACTTTGACATGGCATGATTGTTGGTTCCAGAAGGGCTGGTCTGAGTATTTCAGAAACTGCTGATCTACTGGGATTTTCACACACAACCATCTCTAGGGTTTACAGAGAATGGTCCGAAAAAGAAAAAAACATCCAGTGAGCGGCAGTTCTGTGGGCGGAAATGCCTTGTTGATGCCAGAGGTCAGAGAAGAATGGCCAGACTGGTTCGAGCTGATAGAAGGGCAACAGTGACTCAAATAACCACCCGTTACAACCCAGGTCGGCAGAAGAGCATCTCTGAACGCACAGTACGTCGAACTTTGAGGCAGATGGGCTACAGCAGCAGAAGACCACACCGGGTGCCACTCCTTTCAGCTAAGAACAGGAAACTGAGGCTAAAAATTGCACAAGCTCATCGAAATTGGACAATAGAAGATTGGAAAAACGTTGCCTGGTCTGATGAGTCTCGATTTCTGCTGCGACATTCGGATGGCAGGGTCAGAATTTGGCGTCTACAACATGAAAGCATGGATCCATCCTGCCTTGTATCAACGGTTCAGGCTGGTGGTGGTGGTGTCATGGTGTGGGGAATATTTTCTTGGCACTCTTTGGGCCCCTTGGTACCAATTGAGCATCGTTGCAACGCCACAGCCTACCTGAGTATTGTTTCTGACCATGTCCATCCCTTTATGACCACAATGTACCCAACTTCTGATGGCTACTTTCAGCAGGATAATGCGCCATGTCATAAAGCTAGAATCATCTCAGACTGGTTTTTTGAACATGACAATGAGTTCATTGTACTCAAATGGCCTCCACAGTCACCGGATCTCAATCCAATAGAGCATCTTTGGAATGTGGTGGAACGGGAGATTCGCATTATGGATGTGCAGCCGACAAATCTGCGGCAACTGTGTGATGCCATCATGTCAATATGGACCAAACTCCCTGAGGAATGCTTCCAGCACCTTGTTGAATCTATGCCACGAAGAATTGAGGCAGTTCTGAAGGCAAAAGGGGGTCCAACCCGTTACTAGCATGGGGTACCTAATAAAGTGGCCGGTGAGTGTACGTGATTATAAAACACAATATTTACAATGAATCTTCTATCAGGCAAAAGTAAAATACAATATATTTTGACCGTAACTCTATCGGCTATGTTTTTCTGAAAATTCCCTATAGTATATATAGTATGTCAGTGGGCTGATTTCTATCAAATAAATCCAGTTGTGCTGGAAGCAGAAATGCTATACTGTAGCAATTCTCACTTATTTCCAAAAATATGTGCCACTCAATGACAAAAGTCTATCTGGGGTGGTTTAAGCTTTTTAGAGATGTCAGACGTATGGAAATCGAAAAAGAATAAAAAAATGACATTGACATTCTCCACTGTACTTAAAAGGGATCCACAACTAGTTAAACATGTTGACCCGAATATGTTGTAATGTTCTTGTTAACTTAAAGGTTGATATTTGTGATGAAAAAAAACTTAAAATCAGTTTTAAAATTATATATGCGTTGTTTTAGTTTTCACCCACAGATGTTGCCTTTTTCATGTGTGCACAATAATCCACACAAACACAATCCTGACTTAAGGATGGTTAAGCTTTTATCCATTTATTTGATGTGCATTCATGGAAATGCTTTGAGCTAATTTAGCTAAAAGAACACAGAAACTTTTTAGATCATTGATAGAAAATTTCCACATCAGGATTTTGTTTCTATTGTTTTTGGTGTAGACTATGCATTAAAATGGGTACATATAGGAATCCTTTTTTGGTTTAAAACACACATATTCCATCTTTTCTGATATATTCATGGATGTCAACTGATGGGGAGTATTTCCCTAAACCTTAAATTGGTTGTTTTTCTTAAATCTCCAACCTAAACGCGACTGCTTATTAGGTTCAAAAATATAAAACAGTAGCCTTTACAAAGTGTGTCTCTCAGCCCTGCCTGCTGCAGGTAGGGAACATTAAATGCATCCTGTCCCCACGTCCCAGTGGTAATTAGGGGGTAATGGAGCCCTGGCACTGAGAAACCTGAGTCCACTGAGCTGCAGCCAGAGTGCTTCCTGGGTCAGCCCCAATTGGATGATGAGGCTGCAGCTTGTTTCGGGGTTCTGACCAATCAGGACCGATGAACCGCGAAGATAGGACACACCCATCCCCTTCATTTCTCTGGGGGCTTAAGTGCATTATTCTTTTTTTTCTTTGTTTGTTGCTGCTAAGTACTATGTCGTATTGATTACCTTTCCTCCATGTATGTTGCTCAGCTTTTTAGGGACCTATGATATTGGTACTGATGTTTCCTTATGAACTGAAAGGAAATAACTCTTTCAAGTTTATTTTTCTGTTTCCCTCCTAAAATGTCAATCATAAATCCATTATAATTTTTTTTTTTAATATAGGTTTGGATTTTATGAAGGAATTATAATTGGTTGCATGTTCTCATATGGTCTCAGAAAAAAAATATAAGAAAAATCTATAATATAAGATTATATTTATATTGAAATGAAATCAGAGAAAGGTTACATGTGTGCATTCAACTGTTTATTTACATTTATGGTTTTAGGAGTTTGTTTTGGAGGCTACACTGGCTTCCATTATCAGTAAACTGAATTAGAAATTAGTTCGACTTAATGTTGTTATACCTGGACATAAGAGCAGTGAAGATGTTTGAGACCAAATTTTTTTCATGAATAAGAATTACATTATCTTGTTTTTTTGTTTTTGTTTTTCAATCCTCTCCAGGTGAAAGTAGAGGAGGTTGATGAGGATGCAGCCGAGGAGGAACAGGAGGAAGAACAAGAGGAGGAGAACTGGGAGAAAGCTCTGTCTGTGGAACGTTTTGGAGACATCATCGCATATTCATCTTCAACCAGCGGGGAGCGGATGGGCCGGCACTACACGGAGAAAGACTTTGAGTGTAAGCCAAGACCTTTTCCGCAGCAGATGGAACTCAAAACTACAGTTAAACGGTGGAACAAACTCTTGTTATGCATCCATGCAGCTTTACATGTTTAGATCTTTCCTTGTTAGCTTATAGCAAAACGATAATATTCTAACATTTAAATTGTTCCACATTTAGCTTCACAAGTTTTTTTCTGCGGTCATTAGAAGGCTGATTACATAAAAGATAAATGTCAATAGAATTCTTTGAAAACAGCAAATTTCGGATATTTTTTTCTAAATCAGTGAATCGGCTCAGAATATTTAATAATATATAGTGATTTTCTAGTTATAATAAAAACCAAATTAACTCCTCCAAATTAAATTATTAATATTTTTCACGGGTTTGAAAACCAGAATGTGTAAAGTCAGAATTTGAAGTTCCTTGATTTAATTGTATGGGGAAAAAAATTTATTTAAAGTGGGAGTGTGCAAAAATCATAATATCTGTGAAAAAAAACAGTTCAGTCAGATAAACACACTGAGGAATCTCCATTATTATTAATGAAAAATACAGTTTCGGAAAAAACATTTACTCTAAAGAGGATGCAGAATTAAATGTTTTTTAAAAATAGATTTTTCACATTTTATTGAGTTTTGTTAAAAAAAAAACCCACTATTTTCTGTTCGCATAAATTCATACTTAGAGTTCTTGTTCTTATTTTCTTTCCTCACATTCCAAATAAAAAGCCCTTTTTGATCAATGAACCTATTACCACAGCATAATGCTGCCACCTCCATGCTTTACAATAATTCCCAATGTTTCATCTGTGACACATCATCAGTGATTAAATCAGTGAGAAATTTCCCAACTTTTTTACTTTTGGATTAACTTTAGTTTTGTACGCAGTTCACAGACACACGTTTCACCACACGCACCATCCCTTATCGACCCACCTGCCCGCATCCCAGCGGCAACGCAAGAGGGTTCATAGTACAGACAGAAGAAGCAAAAAGAAACGGAAGAAAAAAAAGACCTCGCTGCCCCCGTCTGACGTGACACCCACCATACACGAGGTAGATGAGGAAGAGGCAGAGTCGGACAGCGAGGGACACTTGCTGAGCGCAACGCCCACAGAGTTACCTTCTACCCAGCCGCAGGTAAAATAAGTCGGAGGGGAGCTCGATGAAAACAGAAGTTCCTGTTAAATGTCAGTACAAACTTTTCTCACTAAGCTTCCTCTTCCTCTCAGTTTAGTTTTGGCAGCCAAGAGGACTTAGAGGAACCCCTACCGCTTGCTACTGTCCACATGGAAAACGAAGAATGTCCCGTTTCAAGGAACGCAGCTCTCACTCTGATAAAGGAGGCAGCACATATCGAGAGAACCGTCGCAGGTGGACACAGCGAGGAGGTGGATGAAGGAGAAGCACCTGGCAGAAGGTGGGCTCTGATGTCAGGTTGGTCTGTCTGAAGCGGCTCCTCCTCCTGTTGGTGCAGAATCTAAAGTTAATTCAGCACTTTACATCCAGGCAGGGATTTACATTTCACCGTCACACATGCATACTTACTGCTTAACCAGCAGCTCTAGAAATAAAACTAAACCCTGGGTTAAAAGGCTACTTCAGTGCAGCACTTAAATTAAGTAGTGCAACTATAGCATTAAACAGTTAGCAGGTGTTGCATTTGTTTATATTTGAACATCTATCGATCTTTGATGATGTTTCCCTGGAACAAACAGAGGAAAGATTTTTTCAAAGAGAAAAAGTTGAGATCCTACGACAGAGCATTAGGGCAAGGCTAAAGATTTTTTAATTTTCTGTATTTTGAGAATAAAATGGTAATATTACAAGAAAATAGTCGTAATATTACAAGAATAAAGTCGTAAAAGTACGAGAATTAAGTCATTATACCGGTCATTATAGGGCCGACCAGCTCCACCAAACAGTGACCTGAGTCCGCTTTGACATCCTGCCCAATTTGATGCTGGGGCTAAAAGATTTTCTAATTGTCAAACCAGAACTTCACATAATGCTCAACATTCCTAATTTTATGGAAGACAGGGCTTCTTGTAAGAGTTGTCATAACAGGGTTCCCGCGGGTCCTTAAAAAGTCTTAAAAGGCATTGAATCTTCAAAATAAAACTAAGGCCTTAATTGGTATTAAAATGTCTTAAATCAGTCTTTCGTAGGTCTTAAATTTTAAAACATCATAAATAGGATTATTTTTATTATGATTTATTTTTGTAATCTAAATAAAACATTAAAACTAACTTTTTTTTTTTTTTATTTAAAAAAATAATGGCTCGCCATTATTGGTTCCGTCCCAATAAAAGCGTTGTTGCGGCCGGGACATTTGGGAGATGCGCCATTAACTTTTTGTCTGGAAAATATGAATGTGACCAAAATTGTCTATCCAGCCAAGAGTTTTCTCCATGGCTAAAACCAGGGAACATACATGAGGCACAGTGTATTTTGTGCAAAAAGCAATTCAAGCTCAGAACAATGAGAATTAAGGCAGTGGAGTCGCACATGCATAGCACGAAACACAAAGTGTCAAAATGGAGTTAGCGAGAAACAGCCGGTATTTCTCAGTTTAGTTCCACCCTTGTCTCTGCAGCGCCTCCACTTATCACCAAATCAAACATACTAAGAAAACGATACAAAGGAAAAATAGCTGCTAAAAAGACTTAGCACTGGTTATGTTGTGGCTTTAAAACTGATTTGTTTTGTTCCCTGCTAAAACAAAGTTTGTGAATTCAGTTAAATAATTGTTAAAATATATCTGTCATTTGTGTGTTTTTAGCTTTCTTCCTGTATGGGAAGCTTTTCAAAATTTGAAACATTAGTGCAGTGGTTTATGTTAAAATAAACCGTTGGGTTAAGTTGTTGCAAGTGGGTTTTTCTTGTATTTCTTGTGAATTTGGTCTTAAATTTTTATTTCAAGTGGCATTAAAAAGTCTTAAAAAGTCTTGACTTTAACTTGCCTTATGCTGTAGGAACCCTGCATAAAGTACAACTTTATACTCATAATTTTAGGACTTTATTCTTCTAATATTCCGACTTTATTCCCTGATTTTTATGACTATTCTCATTGTGACTTTATTCTCGTAATTTCATGACTTTATTCTTGTAATATTACGACTTTAATCTCGTAGTGTTACGACTTATTCCCACAAATTTATGACCTTATTCTCATAATGTTACGGCTTCGTTCTTGTAATTCAATGACTTTATTCTCGTAATGTTAAGACTTTAATCTCGAAATGGAAAAACAAAAAATCTCAAATCCAGCCTCAATAATCTGTCTATGTCATGATTTTATCTAAGGCTCAGGCCCACACACAGTGAAACCAAACAGAGAGAGACTGATGAAAAGTTTGACGGATTTTATTGAAGATGTTAAGCTCGGAGCAGAGTTTCCTTGAACTCTGCTCAGCCGGAACTGGAAGGCGAGGGGAAGACAGACTGTTAGTTCAGGCTCAGTGGGAAAATTGATTCGTTGATCTTGAGAAGAGGATCTGATTGTGGACTCAAGTTTCCAGAGAAGTGAAGGAACCTTGACTCCAATCTGTGTGTTGGTTTTCCAGTGTATGTCTGATTCGGCAGAGGGCGGAAAGGGGTTTACCCAGAACTCGGACGGTGTAGGTGAACGGAGACGCTGATTGCCACTCAGATTTCCTGCTGTACTTGAACGGGTCGTGGTGAAGATGATTCCCTTACTCAGAGAGTAATTTCAACGTTCTCAAAAAGGAGACTGGATCCAAACCTCCTGTTTGAATCCCTGGCTCAGTTTAAGACTCAGTTGATCCCTCCTGGGAGAGGAGGTCCGAAAAGGTCCAGTTTGCAGGATGACTACCTGCTGAGAGGCAAAGACAAAAAACAAAGTTAAAACTCAGGGAGACAAGAACTCAGTCTTACTCAGAGAAAACTCAGTTTGGCTAGAGTACCAAAAACTGGCAAACACTCTGGCGTCGAGGTAGTGGCAGTCAGCAGCTTAAGAGCGCTCCGCTAACGAAGCAAACATTATCAGGTGTGTGAGGAGGCGGACCAGAACCAGGCGCCTCCTGCTGGTGGAAGGGAGACAAACACAAAAACAAACACACAGACAGGAGCCCTGACAGTCTTAAGATCCAAACTTATGTGGTGATACTAATTATACTTTTTTCAGGTGGACAGTATAAGCAATTTTCCTGTATTAATGTATAACAAAAGTAGCCATTCCAAATTTTCCCACTTTCCTTGATGGGCCCTTGACTGGTCCTTGGCTGGTCCCCTACACTTCCTTTTTAAACATCTACAATATTCTTTCTGTCATGATTTGTGGACATTAAGATCTAAACAGAATTGTTATCTCCTGGTCAGACCCTGTAAGTCAGTGAAAGGGTGGAGTCAGAGTAAAAAAATATGCACACCCATGAGAAGACCAGTGGCTGGAAGTTGGAGGGGATGTTGCTGCCATTCGGCTGGCTTTTGACTGAGAAGGGCCATGTTGAATGGCTGCTACTTAAAACCCATCCGATGTAAACACTGCATAACCTTAAAAGATGCATTGAAGCTCTAAAAATGTTTTTCCACCACCGTCTGCAAAATTCCCTACAAATGAAACAAGCTTTATCCAAAAATATGCTGCAATGCTGTAGTTCCCCAGGCACTGATTTTAATTGCAATAGTTCTCCAATCCTTCCTCCACTACAGCTTGTTAGGAATTAAAAGTGACGGAAGCACCAAAAGGGGATATGGGACACCAAGGACCGATCGCTTCTGGCTTCAGAGATTAATTTGGGTTTGCTGATTGTCTTCTCAACAGCAAAGAATAATTGGAGCAGACATTTCAGTCCATGCTGAATTAAAACCCTTTTCAAACAATAAGCGTTTTATTAGGAATATAATCATTAAACATCTTGTCATTAATGACCCATGAAAGCAGCTCTATAGGCTTTTAGATTCCACCAAAGCCTGAATGTTACGAAATAGAAAGGCGCAGCTGGTGGCTTAAATGTAGAACCAATCAGAATATGAATAATTTGGTGATGCTGTGAATTATGCATAGAGTTTGCTGCCAGGAGGTCAGGGGCTCCATGGTGATTGGGTTATTTGTCTGTGCTGATGTCTCTGCTTGATAAAAATGCAGAAAGAAGCTTCATGATGCGTGCTCGACCAGAAACGTGTTGCTTTTTGTGCGTCTGCAGCTGAGGATGACTCAGAGGTTTGGTGAGCAATGGGTTCACAAAGCCTCTGGTGGGGAAATGTTATTATTACAAACCCCCCCAAACACTTATTTAGTAATTTGAAATTACCATAACGACGAGTCTATTAAGCCAAAGAAGTGAATCAGAAATTATTTTTGCAGTGCTGTATAAAAACAGATATTGAACCACTTCCCCATCACCTGTAATGTTTTGTTCTGTCAGTTCTAAACCCAGTATTTCAGTATCAGCCCAAGTCCTGGTACGCCCTAAGCCCGTCCACCATCGGTTGCTGGCTGCCCAGCGCAGCAACTACGACCTGCGGGAGCGGATCTGCATCGGCAGCATGACGGCCCTGGAGGCCGCCGTCTACCAGCAGGTGCCCACTGATGAGGCCGAAGCCCAGATGTTGGTCAGTGCTGATCTGGACGACATGAAAAGTAATTTTTTATTTTACTTTTTTTTTTTTTGGTGCATCAAACTTTATGTTTTTTTAAAGGTTTATTTAAAATACCCCAAACTTCCATTAACTGCCTGAAGTGCTGGTAACTTTTAAATATCTGGCGCCATCTTCTGGTTATGTTGAATAAACAGTTTTAGCAGCCGCAAACAAACTGTTAAAAACACAAAAACATTAGTTTATGTGTTTGGGGGAATAAATAAGTCAATGCAGACTGATAACTGGCTCCTGGATCTTTATTATACAGCAGAACAAGATGTCAAACCTTTATGTTTATAAGCATAAAATAAATTAATATCACTGAAATTATAAGACTTATTTGCTCTCTTTTAAATTCAATGGTTGAGGACTTTTTATACCATATTTAAACTAAACCACTCATGTCACATTTGTAAAATGTTGTGCTTTAAGGTAAATAAGGCGAAAATTGCAGCTTAGTTTATAATATATCCATTCTGCTAATGTTAGATGACTGGATAAACCTGCTTTTCTTTTTAGACCAATTCCCTCAAATATTTTTTCACACTAAAAGTGTTTTCCTTAAGCATGAGTAGTAAAATATAGATATTAAAAACTATGAAATAGCTAATTAGTTCCTGTGTGAACAGAAAAAACCCCTAAGTTTCAGTATCAGGAGGCATTAATTAGCACGACATTCGAGTCGATTCCCCTTCAACAGCGACCCTGCCTCTGGCTTTTCCTGTATCAACCAGAGCAGAGTGATCATTGACTGTTTAGGTGCCATCTGCACTCTAAAAACAGCGGACCTGCAGCTCGCTCTGCTGTTTGCTGTCAGTAACTGTTTTTTGGTTTTATCTGAACAAATATGCCAAAACAACATAAATATTTTCTGATGAGAAGAATTATTTAGAACAGAAAATGCTTAGGAAAATAAAGTCGGATGGTAACAAACTGTGGTGTGAAAAAAACAGGATTCAAAGCAGAACAGGAGGAAAACCAAGCTGGTAGAGAAGAAGACTCTTTAATAGTAAATCTGACTGAAATGATCTTCTAACCATTTAATTATCAGAATGTTTTATTGTTCAACAGATTTGATTAAAGTTATTTTTCCTTTGAGGCTTAATTTAATTCCAGCCTTGTGTGCAACACTCGGAACTTTCATCAAACGATTTTTCCACCAGCGATCCTTTTGTTGCCTCACCTAAAGCCCACTTCTTGGAAAGGCGAGACGCTGCGTGCGGCTGTGTTTACGTTTTGGGGCTGCATCCCAGAAGGCCATTTTCATAGGCTAATTAATTCCCAGGGCTGTGATATAGGCCGTCCAAATTCAAAGGCTCCCTTAAATGCAAGTGACCAATGGATCTTCCTTCTTTTAAAGAATGGGTTCAGTGTATCCCTGATATCCCATCATATCCCATATTCATTTGGAGTCAAACTAGATTGGTTGATCTGGTGCAGTTATGGTTGACAACAGGGCCAAATATCGTAATGAACAGTTGATATTTTTTGCTCTAACTTTGACCCAAAATGAACTTTTAAGACTTTTCAGATAAATATACTTTTATAAAACTCAGATATCTTCTAGTTTATCAATAATTATCAATAATAATATCAATAATATCAGCTGACCAGATGGTCTTCCCTTCCTTGTGTCCAAGAGAAGGAATTTGATTCTCAGCTCATTGTGTTAAATCTACTGCTGGGAGGAAGTTAAAGACAACTAATTCAGTCAGATGACATCGAACAGTTAATGTGTGGCTTTAGAGACCAAATCTTGACTAAAATTAATGCTAAGCCTAATTTGGATGATTTTATTCAAACTTAATGCCTTAGGCATGTGCAATTTATTCAATTGTTGCATGCAGCTACAGCTCAAACTGTACAACGAAACCACAGGGTTTAAAGGTGCACAGGTCACGATGCATGATCTCACATTGTACGGCCCGATGCTCTGATGCGATCTACCTGCACACACTATGTGTCCAAAAACCACAAGTCGGACTCATCGCAGAGAGATGCTGCTGGTCAGACTCGTCAATCTGCACGACAGAGAAGAACTCCCTTGTTTGCGCAGTGCTCCAGGTTCTGGTATATTGGTTCTTAGATGCTCCTAGCTCTGCTTCAACAGCAGGATTTGTCCACGAACACCTTACGACGGCCGACTGAATTTCAAACATGTTTGATTTTCTCCTTACCTTACGATTCCTGATCGGGAATCGATCTACACGACGCAGGATCAAGCCGAAACTCAGCCCGATCGAAAAATTGTCGTACGACTTTAGAATTGGCCCGAAAAGGGCAAAAAATCGTACAGTGTATGCATCCATTTGTTCTGATCTGTCAATTTGTGTTGCAGTCTGTCTATGGGTACATCCACAACACACAGTTTTACAATTTTCACTATTTATTTATAGAATGTTGTTTTTGATTTTAACGTGTATCATGTAATTATAGCTGGGAACATCTTTAGGGTGAATTTATGCAAATAATAAAAAAAAGTAAATATCCTAAAATATAAACCAAATATGTAGATTTGAAACAAACACCAAAAGACAACAACTTTCCCCATGAGGATAAACAGGACAAACTGGTATCAAAATACATCATGTCGATTCTATAAAGATGCGGCTGGTTGGGATGAACGTTGGAGGATCGACAGGTGGTCAAAACATGGCATCTGTTGAATAGATTCTGTTTGAATCTAACCTGTTGCTCTACATCTCTGTTATTTACCATTTATCTGTTGCTCAAACGATTACAGCAGTGTGCCAGCAATTTTGGCAGCAGTCAGATAAAGCGTGCTTGTAATTGTTAAAGCAAAGCCATACCACAACAATAAAGAGAGGGACATTTTTTTTTTCATGAAAATTCTATCATTTGTTTACCTTATTGTGGTTTAAGAAAAACCTGATTTCTACCTCTTATCTCCCCTGTACACGTGCATTTCCTACACCACCCACGGTCTTTACCACTCAATACATCACATGTTTAGGAAAGTGATGGAGGCACAGCGGTAATAAAGGTCATCTCCTGTCCTCCTCTGATCTGCTCTTCCCTGTTTTTCCAGCTGTGGTTGAGATCAATCCAATGTGGACATCATTAAAAAAGGGCGGCACACTCATTCAGCCAACAGGCTTCTGTCACTACAGAACATCAGCCATCAATACCTCTTGTTAGACTTGTTTCCATTCAACTATTTCTATAGAAGGGATGCAGCCTTATTCAGTCAGCGTTTTATTCAGTCAAAGTCTACGTCAGGGATTTTGCATCTGCCATTTATGTTTTTGGAGACCAGGGAGAGGTCTTCGCTAAGAAATTGACCATCCATGTAGTTTTGTTTCTCAGATGTTGATTAAGTCTAAGTTCAGTTAGTGTAAAGCAAGTGGTCTGCACGGACTTAAGGAGAGCAACGAGGTTCAGGAGTCTGAAACCCTGGATGAGCAGCGCATCTGTCTGGAGATTGGTGGATAGGAGGAGGAAGCAGCTGTGGAGATGACAGACATTGGGGGAGAGGACAACCAAGGAGTTGGGTCTGCTGACAAGAAGCTGACAGCCGATAACCATGGACCGGATCGCCGGAGCAGCGTCCAAAGGGGCCTCGGCACCTCAACGCTGTATGAGCGGCAGGGCTCCTTATCTCTGGGGGACGGGTTTGAGGACCTTGAGGAATTTGTTTTGGATTTTGATGATTATGACCTTCTTGAGTCCATCCACAGCCAACTGGGGTCCCCCGTCGAACCCATCCGTGAGTTTTGCTTCCATATTTGATCTGAAAGCAACTTTTTAAAACAATCTATATTCTGTTTTGCTGTCTAAAGTGGCCAGTTAAAACTATAAGCAGTTTTCAAAGGGTTAATCCATTAATAAGAAGAAAAGAAAAAAACTTTCCAAGCCAATCTTCCTTTATATAAGAAGTGATTAACCTCCCAGCATATTACAGCTAGAAGCAAAAACTGCCATAAAGACTTAAACATTACTATGAAAAGTTTTAAACCACTCTCATTGAAGGGTTTTTAGAGTGAGCGGCCTGTTTAAATCAATGCCATAATCCTGACTTTGACTAGGCCACCTTATATTACTGATTCTGTGTTGTTGTTTTTTTTTTACTTACACTCAAGCAGACATTTTGTTGCTCTTTGTATCATTGTTCTGTAACTTAAGAGTAATTGTAGTTAATGTATTGAATCGGTGGTCAGAGATCATCTCCTTTTTATTTGCTATAGAGCAGAATTCATGGTTCAATCCTCCTTAGCAAATAATTTTGATCTAAAAAGCAAATCAACCCCAGAGCACCACACCACACCACCACCATGTCTGAATGTAGGAGGAGCTTCCTTTTTTCTAAAATGGTCTTTGTGTTTTACACCACATGTATTAAAAGACACAACCTCCAAAAAGGTTGTCTATTCATAACCATTTGCAGACTGGTAGACGTCAGCCGCTTTGGTTTCTTACTGTTCTGTAATTTGCTTTTTGTCTTTTTAGAGGTTCTCCTTAATTGATTTGGTTTTGGTTTTATTGATTGCAAGTCTGTCATTTACCAGACTTGGAAGTAACAAGTTAAACTGAATCAACACATGTGGTCAGCTGGTTACAGTAAAAATGATGATTTAAAGGCCCTGAGTTGGAGGTTTAGAAGCTATGTATTCACGAAAGCCCAAGTTTGTTGGGAGCTTTGGAGGCCTGGCTTTTTTCTATAATAAATGAAAAAATTGTGAAATTAACAGCTTTTTTGTTTGCCACTTTACAAAACTAGTCCATCTAAACTATAATTTTCCCCCAACTAAGGTGACAGGACCTGTCCATTGGGAAACTAGTACCCATGAACTCTGGAAATCTGACTCAAAGAATGAAGAAGAAGAATTCAACTTTATTGACATTACATTGTCACAAGTACAAAGCAACGAAATTCCCTCTCTGCATTTAACCAATCTCCCCTTTCGGGAGCAATGTGGGGTTAAGGATCTTGCTCAGACCCATAGTGGCAGTCTTTGGACAATGGGCCTTGAACTCAGGACCTCAGGGATCTAAGAGCAAAGCCCTAACCAAGACTTGAAATCTGACCTTTACAGATGCTTTCCACTCAGTGTGGCTGAACATGAGCTGCTATATAGGGACAAATATTTCAGTTCATATGTATTGAAAGCTGTTAAACACATAAAAGAAACAACCTACAACAGGGAGTATAGGAAATTAGATTCTGCAAAGTGTTTACTTTTCACTTTTCATTATTAAAACAAAGGATATCTATCTATCTATCTATCTATCTATCTATCTATCTATCTATCTATCTATCTATCTATCTATCTATCTATCTATCTATCTATCTATCTATCTATCTATCATCTATCTATCTATCTATCTATCTATCTATCTATCTATCTATCTATCTATATATATATATATATATATATATATATATATATATATATATATATATATATATATATATATATATAGTCAAGGTCACCAAGCCATAAAGTTCTTCTGAAGCTAATTTCCATTGATAGCTGTTTAACAGGCTTTTGCTGAACTGCAGTCATCAGAAACCGCTGTTCTAAAGCAGAGAAACCTCTAAACCCTGCAGGGCAGCGGCCCTCGAGGACAGACTTTAGGCATGCCTGCTTTGGTTCATTTCGTCAGGTGGTTAACAATCCATGCTGGTATTCATTCATTATTTATTATGTAAAGGTCCAAACGATTTAGAACTACAATCATAGTTTACAGCAGTCAAAAGATGTCGGACAACCTGGTTTGTAATTTGAAACACATTAATGGAATAATCCATCGGAAGCTTTGCTTGTAGAAGTTCTGAACACCTAATTATTAGCTCAAAAAGTGCGGTTGCTTTGATTTAATTTCACGTAGAAACAGCCACATTGAAGTTGTGGATTTCTGATGCACGCTGGGAAACTATTTTTACACGGTTGATCAATAGAGCCGGAAGTGACTTTCCATGAGCTGCAGCCAGTTTAAACCATAAGAGGCTCGTTCAGGGCCACACAGAACACAGCTGAACGCCGTATTGAATGAATTGACAGGGGACTCCACGGCTGCTCTTTCCTGCCTTTCCATTGATCCACTGGCACCCATTTGGGTTCAGGGGTCAGCTGCAGCTGGAGCGGAAAGATAATTCATTGACAAACACTGGTTCTAGTTTTAATGCTCCTGTTTGGGCTCATGGAACATCAGAGCTGGATATCATTATTCTTTCTGCAAGATAAAGCGTCTTAAAACACACCTTTGGTTAGAAAAGGAAAAACAAAGTTATGATTCAGTCTGTCTATCACTACTAACCGTATTATAACAAGTTCTTTATTTTTTGTCACATAGTTATCAGCTTTTCAATATCTTTTACACATCTGGTTGAATTTTCATTGTTTTCACCCTACTTCACTATATTAATTTAGAGTTATGCAACTTTTGTTGCTTTAAGGTTTTATGGCTCTTCCCCTGTTACACTGTTAAACATTTCCAACTAAAGTTGGACTAAACCAAATTCAAGGTAATAAATCCTAAGGCATCAAAAAGTTTTGCTAGATTTTTCAAAAACCGAGCTTCTTGGTCTTCCTACCAATAGCAGTGCTAAAGTAAAGGTGGTGGGCTGATTGCTAAGATTTAAAGAAACCTGTTATAAGCCAAAGATACATCAAGAGTGGGTCTGATAGAGGACCTGCTCTGAAAGGCAGTGCCATCAGTGCGGTTTGAATTTTAATGAGGAAACTTTGGAATATAAAGATAATGAGCCAATCTAACTTTACAACACTGGTTTTAATTTTAGAAAGTTTAGCTTTATATCAATAGACTATCTTATTTATTACAGGAACACAATTACACTATATGGAAACAAATTAAATTGGGTCAGAAATATTCATGAGTAGTCGATTATTCTAATTATATAATAAATATTTGCATTAAGTACACACGCATGCAGTAGGTGGATTTGAAAGAAAGGGGAAAAAAGTATAATTTTGCAGCTCAAACCAGTTTGTGTGCTAAGTACCCAGAGAGGCTGTGCCTATTTTTACATCTAAAAAATGTATTGTTATCAAATAACATCCTCTTTATGCCTTTCTAGGTTTTTATTTTAATGTGCAACAGCATACTATACACCTTAAATGTGAATTCAAAGTAGCTTAAATGCAGATTAATTGGTATATGGTTGAGCATAACGTCTAAAGGAGATGTTTATGAAGTAGTTTGCATTGAGGGAAACCAAACTGTTGTTATCACTATCAGAGAAGTATAAATAAAGTTGCAGCTTCTTAGGCTACGTAATATTTTAGTACAGTGTTACACATTAGCTGAGTGGGTCCCTATATCGAAAACTATTGAAAGGTATAATAGGCCTAACTTCTCCCTAGTCTTTAAATTGAGTTTTATTAGCCCTCTTATCATTTAAATGTCCTTTAATTGAAGTTATAAATGAGATGGCACACACAAATCTATTAATAAAAAAGGCCTCATATTTCCTCTAATGATCTCAGCTTTTATTTTACCAATACAGGTTATGAAACAGACAGCTTGGTAGGAATGAGCTTTAAGGAGTTAACAAAACCCTAAAGCAGACAAATGACATTTAGGTAGTCCAGATATGGTGGAAAACATGTAAAATGATGGATGGATGGATGGATGGATGGATGGATGGATGGATGGATGGATGGATGGATGGATGGATGGATGGATGGATGGATGGATGGATGGATGGATGGATCAGAAAAACAAAGGATCTATTGCAGAAATGGTTGTCAAAAGTCACATTTTCAAGTTAAAAAGTTCCAGTGATATACGATTAATTTTTTTCTATTATGGATCATTTAAAAACTTATTCTGCAAATAATGTCAAACAATTGCTTTACAATCCAACTTAAAAACATATCTGGAGGAAAAACTAATAAGCGACTTCCACCTAGTTGCATAAATGTGCACATCGTCGTATGTTTGACTGTGCGGTTTTTGTTTAATGATCCTTGTTGTTGTTTTTATGCCAAAAATGTTTTGGGGGATTTTATCCAGTTATATTTTCATCACTAAGAAAGGACCTTAGGTCTCTAACTCAATTCCTAAGCCTGTACATAAGAAAAAACAAGAGATGGCTGTCACATGTAGAACATTGGCAAGCCATTGCTGGAAATTCCTGCAGCTCTTTCAACAATGTTGGTGTCTTGGCAGCATTTTCTACATCATTTTCTGGAAACTGGAACACTGAAGCTATTCTGTCATGCAATGGTTCATGCAATTGTACAGACCCAGATGACATTATATTAACTTTTTATTATTTTTTCCCTTTATTTTCTAAAATGCAGGGAGCATTCTGAGGTTAGGGGTTTTGCTCAGGGGCCGAGAGAGATCCAGAAGTTTTGCATCCTCCGCTTATAGCTTATCTTTATAAACGGTTTATCCCAAGACAAAGTGCTGCATGATTAGCCAAAGGCAATAAACTCTGATTGAATGCATGTTGTAACAGCAACACTGACACATGTTCAACAGTTTTTATCCCCTCACCTCATCAGGATGTCTCTTTCCAACCACAGATATTCTCTGGCTTCAGATTTTTAAAAGCAGGGGCTCTGAGAAAACAATTATCTCCTAAAACTGGTGTTCAAACTAATTGCACTCCTGCTTTACCGTGATGTCAAATCAAGTCAGACTTTATTGCTATTTGGTTTTACATACAACAATGCAGACAACAAGAGAGCAGGTTTCTTCCAGATTCAAGAATTTAAATACACACATCACCATGAAACACAATCAACCAGATGAACAGATAACAGATAAAAGAGTAAGAGAGCTATGCAGCTCTTTTAAATTATACGGAGCGTTTGTTGGTACTCAGCCATCTTCTAATTACTTATTTAAACACTAGTTCTGATGGCAGTATAGCTTTTTCAATCCACAGTGCAGTAAAGTGCCCATTGTTGGCAATTAGCATGATACCTACATTTACAGTAAATTCCAGGTGCAATATTAAAATTTTAAAAAAGTATAACATCAAACTGCAAGTAAAACTAAATTTCTTTCTATATTGGAGATAACTTCAGAAATTACGTTTTTAAAGTTTTTTTTCTTACATACATTTTCTTGAAATGCTTAAATATTTAAGTAAAGTGTTAAAGCACAAATTCAGAATCCTCTCCCTGGTATACCTCTGTATAGTGAGATTTATCCTTGGCATAGTCTGAGCTCTTGCTTTAGCTAATGAATGGACATCTTTAGCTCAGGTTATTTAGATTGATCAGAAGCATTTGGTGCTCTGACGAGGCGTTTTTGTAAGGATTTGCTAATTTATGCAGACTGGTTTTTTGCTGCCTTTTAGACCTTTGACTTGAAATAGCTGCTTAATTTTTCAGGTCACAGATTTGAGGACAACCCGGGCGTACGGCGCCATCTGGTGAAGAAGTCCTCTCGATGTCAGATGTCACGGTCAAGCATGAGCTCCACACCGTTATCCAGCATAAAGAAGAAGAAGAGGGGAGGAGTTAAGAAAACGCATGAGGTCTGCGGCATTTATGTTTTTAACATTTATGCACAAATAATGTCCATTTAGGGTCAGAGTTTTGGTTCTGTTATGTTATGTCCTCAGTTTTACTTTGCTCCTTGTTTTCTGGATTTAGTGGTTTTATTCTTTTGTTGTGTTTCTGGTTATTTTCAGTTTTCAGGTTTTTATTTGTTGCCCTCTGCTGCCCTCTTGTGTTCTCCTTTTTCCCTAACTCCGTTCCTGTTCTGTTCACACCTGCTCCCGATTTCCTCGTCAGTCCTCTCTTTTTTTCAGTCTCCCATAAATACACTCTCTGTTCAGTTCCTCAGTGCTGGTTCCTCGTCTAACTTCCTCCAACTCCATCTCTCTGAGTCTTCCTCCTCATGATAGTTTACCCCCCCACCCCCAATGTCTCCATGGTTTATGGTTTGTTTGACTTTGTTTTCATGTTTGATTTTTTTTATTATTTTGGAAACCTGTCTCAGTTATTTGTTTAGTCTTCATTAAATCATCAAGAAACTCACCTCTGCCTCCCTGTCTCTGCATTTGGGTCCTCACATCACAACCTAATCCTGACATTTAGAACTGCAAGAAAATGGTGGGGGGGTTGTGGTTGATTGCTGGGCAGACTCAGCGTGGTCATAGTAGGTGCTTCCTGTAACCCTATGTAGGACCGTAATTGTTGCTTGTTTTACCAGTACCAGGATTGGTTTTTCCTCACACAGCAATACTCAAAAGTTAATTACCCTTTTAAGCAAGCTTATGGTGTAGAGATAATATTCAACATTAATTTCATTTAAAGGTCAAACATGTTTTTTTGTAAAGGTCCTTGAAAATAAGAAAATGTGACTATGATCAAGATGGGCTTTAAATTTTAATATAGGGCCAGGTTGATTGAAATAGATTTATTTTTCTTTAGTATTTATTCAGTTTATCTTTGAAAGATATTGTTTTTATCATCAATCAATCCATACATTTTCTCTCGCCTAGTCTATATCAGGGTGGTGGTGGGGCCAGTGCCTATCTCCGGTAGTCTATGGACGATAGGCGGAGAAAACTCTGAACAGGTTGCCAGTTTCCCAGGGCAACACAGAGAGTCACAGAGACACAAAACCATGCCACACACACACCTAAGGACAATTTAGAGAAGCCAATTCACTTAACAGTCATGTTTTTTGACTGAAGAGGAAGCTAGTACTCGAAGAGAACTCAGGCATGCATGGGGAGAACATGCAAACTCCATGCAGAAATAACCCGGCCGAGAATCATCCCAGACGCTTCTTGCTGCAAGGTAACAGCGCTATCCACTGCACCAACCTGCAGGCCCCATTATTTTATAATTTTAAATAATAACAATCAGACGCAAAATCTTCTTGACAATAACTGAGAACAAAATAGGGGCCATCTTTTTCTTTTCAGAGTTTCTTACACAGTTAACACCGAAAAAGCCCGGTTCTAGCACCTTTACAAATGTGTTGCTGTTTTGCCAAGTCTTTCAATCGTTAAATCTTTTGTGTTCTGCTCCGTCTGCAGTTATTTGTTGAGCTCAATGAGCTGATTGTGGAGAAGGACCATGAAATGCGCTGGAAGGAGCGAGCACGTTGGATCAAGTTTGAGGAAGATGTGGAGGAGGAAACAGACCGTTGGGGCAAACCTCATGTAGCTTCCCTGTCGTTCCGCAGCCTGCTGGAGCTCCGCCGCACCATCACGCATGGTAAAGTTCTTCTGTATCCTCAACACAACGTAGGCGCTTACAGTAACACGCTCTATTTTACCTATGTATTATTACCTGAGCGCTACTAACCTGTAGACTGAAATTGGTCTCTAAACGGGTTAAATTGATTACTCTGCTGCTGTTCAGTAACTACATTGTTCTTCTTCTTTCTAGGTGCCATCCTTCTGGATCTTGAGCAGAGCACTCTGCCTGGCATTGTCCATCTGGTGGTGGAGACCATGATCATCTCCGACCAGATCAGAGCAGAGGACAGGCCGAGTGTCCTTCGCGCGTTGCTTCTCAAGCACAGGTCAGTGAGCCAACTAATGCATCTACCGACGTTTTTTTTTTTCTTCATTTTATTCATTTTATCGTAATAGTTGACCATAGCGTTACGGGAGATACAGTAGCAGCCATTCAAAATGGCCCTTCTCAGTCAAACACCAGCCCTGCGACTCCCATCAAAATCCCCTCCAACTTCTAGCCACTGGCTTTCTCCTGGGTGTTCATATTTTTTACTCTGACTCCACCCTTTAACTGAATTACAAGGTCTGAACAGGAAATTATGCTCCTCTTTAGATCTTAATGTCCACAAAGCATGACTTAAAGATAATTTTCATACAAAGATTGATGTTTAAAAAAGGAATTGTAGGAGACCAGCCAAGGGCCCTTCAAGGAAAATGGGGAAATTTTAAATGGCTACAACTGTATTTATGATGGCTTTAACATTCATCAAAATCAGAGTTCTGATTTTACACAACTGTGGGTACCCCAAGGTTCTGCATTAGGACCTGTTTCTGTTTTTATTTGTACGCTCATTTGATTCCCAGTAAATATTATACATATGTATATACAATTATAAGTTTTTTAACTGTAAAACAAGTTAACAGGTTCCTTCACAGTGAAGAAGAGCGACGGTCTAGTGGTTAGAGTTGGGCTTCAAGTTCAAGCCCCACTCCCACAGTCTGCCACTCTGCGTCTCTGAGCAAAAGACCCTTAACCCCACACTGCTCCCCGGGCGTTTATTCCGTTGCTCTGTACTTGTGACAGTGTAATACAATAAAAGCTGGGGAAAAAATAGATAAATAAATGATAATAGCTAGCGATATTACACAACCAGCAAGTTTATCAGTTTCAAATATTCATCTTAAAAGCAAAAGTGAAAGGTTGGCATTGCTCTGAAATATGAAACGCCAAGGGAGCATTTTTTTTTTTTTCCTGAAGTAAAATCCTCATAAAAGGGAAACCTGAATCAATGGATTAGATCGACCTATCCCTCAGCCTTATTTTCTAAACAGAAAAAGATTAAATTCTTTCAGTTTCCCCCTGATTGGCCTGCGATAAATCTGAATATCGGTCAGTTTTGATCATCATGTGATATCTCCAATCCATCTTCAATTTCTGTGGTAGAGGAAGTGGAGATGCTCACTGAAACACTTTGAGGTTTTCTTTACAGGTATCAAACAACTGATAAAATAAAACTGATATCTGCCTATGAAACGTTTCATTAAGGATCATGTTTGGGGACAAAGCTGCATCTTAAACCTCCCAGTTTAAAGACAGTATTAGAATTGAGTAGCGAAATGTTCATTTCTTCTTAACTGAAACATGGCAGCAGAGTTTTTACCTCATTCACAGAGAATAAGCTGGACCAAAATTGCAAGGCTCTTCAGCAGTTCCTGTAAAATGGACTCCTTCCTAAAGCTCAGAGTTGTTGCCAACCCGTCACTTTGCTGCTAACATTCAGTAGACTTATTACAAAATGATCTTAAACAGATTTTTAGAAGCACATTTGAGGAAAATTAACCTTTCGTCAGTTTTCTCGCTTCATCATGATATAAACCTTGTGAAGAAGGGAGTCATGAGTAAAAACTAATAGAGATAAATACTCCTCCTGCCGAGGTTTGTGTTCAATCTGGACCGACCTAGGAATTTCCAGACTGTGACATTTATGAGACGAGGCTAATCATCTTCTGAAATGATTTAAATTAATTTGGAATGATAAGTTGAAACCCTGCAGGGTTCTAACAGTTTTTCCTGAATAAACTGGTGATAATCGCCGTGGTTTCATTTCAAGAATAGGAGTCGTTTCAAAGCCACAGGTTTTGTTATCTGCTGATTTCATGTTTTTGGTCCTTCCATTTCTCAGCATGAACAGGTCTTTAAAGGAAACCTGTTGAGCTGCTTGTTTCGTAGTCAGCAGGATTATTGGGAATTACCAAGTACCAGCAGGGGTGGAAAGTAACGAATTACATTTACTCAAGTTACTGTAATTGAGTACTTTTTATGAGTAATTTGTAATTTTCTGAGTAGTTTTTGAAATACGTCATTTTTACTTTTACTCGAGTAAATTTTAACCTAAGTAGTTTTACGTCGCTGCAATTAAAACCTCCTCATGTTACTGAGTAAAAAAAATGAAAAAATAAAATACAGCCGGAAATTTAAACCCCTGTGTCACGGAACTGACACTTAATCGCCATTAAAAAATAGAAGAAGACTTTTGACTTTTAACAACACTTTATTTACACAATTCAAACATATAAACAATTGATGTAAAATAAGTGACAGTTAAAAATCACTATTAAAGTAAAACAAGTGTCAGTTAAAATCATTAAATGAGGAGCTTGTTAATAACAGTGGGATCCTGTTGCGTTTTAGTTTGATTTCTGGTATCTTTTGGGCATTTAATTTTGTGTGCATTTTGAAAACTTTAAACCGTAGTTTAAATTTCTTTATTCCTATCATGGTGTTGTCTGTTGAACAGTGGGACTGAAAATTGTTTGCACTTTGTTTGTGGTTGTCCACTGAAATATGCCCTGAAATTGATTAAAACACCTTGTGGTCAATTCGATTCATGACTCATCCTTTTTTTGCATTAAATAACTCAAAGTAACTAAGTAACTTTTACTCAAATTACATTTTAAATGAAGTATTTTTTTACTTTTACTTGAGTAAATTTTGAGATGGGTAATTTTACTTTTACTCTGAGTAAAATTTAGGCAAAGATACTTTTACTCAACTACAATTTTTTAGTACTCTTTCCACCTCTGAGTACCAGGGTGGAAAAATCTGCTAAAGGGTTGTGATGTTTCTCCAGAAAATGCTGCAACAAACAAATCATGAAATTAAACAGAGCTTTGTTAGATCTGCAGTCTCCACTCATCCTAATTCATTGATTGATGCTTTGAATGGAATGTGTCCTAAACTGAGCCGATCAATGAATCTGGGAGCTACCACATGGCGAGGTATTGATTTTTTCTTATGTAATGATAAAGACTCACTAAGTGATGGCCGTCACACTGGAGCAAAAACGAATTGACTTTGTCAGAAATATTGTTGTGCATTTCAGGTTCTAATGGCAAGAGATTCTAGATCATAAGATAAAAGGTGGAAGTCCTGCCTGTGGGTTAGTTTAAGTACCGTCGACCAAGGGTGTAACTGTAATGAAAGTTGGTGGGGACACTTTGGTAGGGGCCTATAACCTACAGTTACTCCACCGGAACGCTTTCAATAGAGTTTTTGTATTTTCCAAAAATTAGGTCAAACATAAATTTATTGAATGCTTTCTTATTGTTGAGAACACAAGAGAACCCTAATGCACTGATATCTATAGATAGTTATGCTTTTTAGTGCATTATATATATAGGGCCCAAAAACATTAATGTATAAAAAAAGAAACGAATAACACCTGTTTCCGATGCCAAAATGGATATATCTTGCATCCCTAGAAGTACAATTTCATTTCCATCCATCCAGAAAAATATGGATATGCTGCAATTTGAATATAGCATAGCATATTTTTTTCTTGTAAACTCTCTGATAACTTGGGGATATATTTTATTGCATGTTGCATATCCCAGTAAATCTGTTTCACCTTTAAATCTGCAGCTCTCCCTACTTCCCTCTCTGCTCTGTTTAAAAAGATTTATAAACCTCTATAATGATGCCAGAAAGAACATTTCAGGATATGTAGAAGCTCTGGTGTCTGATTCTGTCTGTACAATAAGAGGACATGTTCATTTTAGGCTGTTAGACATGGTGCTCTGAGAAGCCAAGCTTTTATAGTAAAAAAGAACACACAATTTAAACTATGTTTTCTCAAACTTCTTGCATTATAATACTAACTTGTATAAACTTATAATCTGTTGCCATTTTTAACTGAAACATCTCCCTATGTCTAATGAACAGATTTTTCGGTGGCATCTCCAATTTTTTTAACCAACCCGTCTCCTAACTTTTACTTAGACATACATTGAAGTAGCTTCTGTTTAATGCTGTGTCTGTCCTCCAACCACGTAGCTACTTTGTACACAGTGAAATGTGACATCAAATTAGATGTCTCAAAGCGACAGATCCGATGATGTTACACCGAGAGGAGGGACACAGGAGCAGCGGTAGAGAGAAAAAAAAAAAAACCTCTGAACACAGATAGCTGCACCCAACATCTGTCACCTTTGGCTAAAGTAAATGAGCTGAAAAGGGACAGAAAAACCGGGGGACATGTCCACACCAGTCTTTCAGAAACTTACCCCTGTGCCGTAGACCATTTATCAGAAGTCACAAGCAGGGCCAAGACAGATGAAGAACAAACCAGAGAGAAATGTTAGCAATATGGAGGAAGACAGAATGTATGTGTATGAGAGAAACAGCCAAGGATGAGATGATTGGTAACAAGTTGGAATGACAATGTTAGGATAGCTGGGACATTATGGAATTATAGGAAGTCAACTGAGACGATTCAAGATGTAAATTGTTCTAGAGGTCTTTTACTTAATTTAAACTAGAGAGAAGCTGATTTCTCCTTTAGCCCCTCCAAACTGCCATGTCTTATCATTTTCCCCCAGCATTTTTTATTCTCATTATACTGTCACAATTACAGAGCAGTGGGCCTTGTGCGGCACCTGGTAAAGGGTCTTGCTCAGGGAGCCAGAGTGGCAGTCCTTGGGAGTGGGGCCTGAGCCTCTGAGATAACCACTAGCATTAACATGAAGGGTCTTGCCTAAAGATCCACACTGGCATCTCATTCCCCCCAGCTGGGATATGAACCCAGACTTCCTTATCATGACCTGTAACCTCAAACAAGCTGACTGAGGCCTGTAGAATCTGAGATTGAGCTCTTGAATTTTTGGTCATATTCTTGAGCTTCTTGCTCTGACTGTGGGCTCTGTCTGCTTAGATGTCCAGTCCAGGTTATTGTTGGCTTCCTTGGGTTTCTGCGTCTTGGAAATATGGAAATGTATAATGATGGGTTTCCAGTATTTTGAGCTTCTAGATTTCTGGACCATACATTTTAGGTTATTACTGATGTAGTATCATCTTTAACTTAAGCCATACCTCCAATCAACAGCACATACTTACTTGAGCAGAGTTCAGTAAATGCTGGAAAAAAGCAAAAGAAATAGCTAGGGGGTATTAACACATATGCAGACAAAGTGCCATGACAGATGGAAGAAAGTGAAACAAACTAACAGCTGGTCCTCACATGCTCATTCTGTCTTCCTTTGTCTTTCCACATAATTCCCAAAGTTTCACAGGCTGCTCCTCTGGGGGAAAAACAAACGGTGCCATCAATCATCACCAATCGGAGGGACAAGATTTATGACATGGTCAGAGACGTATTTAGGTGCTGCTGAAATTTAGCTCATCTCTGAGTCAGAGCTCTTTAACGACCCTGCTGGGACATCCTGAGCTCAGCTGACTTCAGCATGACTGCTTTGTCTTTGGTCCGGGGGCGATGTCACGTCCAATTTCACGCAGGGTCTTAAAGGTCCATGTGGACCTCAGGGTGGAGGTGATGTAACCAGTGGACTGAGTAGTGATGTAATGAAACTGTTGAAATAACTGAGCTAATGGGAAATGTTCATGTCCAAGAGGTGATGAAATGTTCTTATCATGTTGTGCACAGAAAACAAGAATAATATAGTTAAAGGGCAGATATTTTGTTCTGCTTAGGTTTCATTATAAATGACAAGGTTTTCAAGCTTTTATATTAGTATTGCTTTAATTTGGGGTAAATTTTATTCAAGAAATTACCAAAAAAATTATCAAATAAAATGCACTATTGCAAACGTTAAGAGGTTTAATCAAGGGCTTGCCCACAATCTATTCATTAATTTCCTTTATATCAGAAACTATGTTAAAGATTATCTTTCTTCAGGTTGAATTGTTGTCCCTAGAAACATTGCTGTCTTTAAATCAGCAGATGTTGATGTAATTTCACTGTTGTGCATTGTCCCACAAAGCTCTCCACCAAAAATGCATTTAGCCTGTTGACATTTTAGAGTCAAAAAGATGATAAATGACTCTATAATAAGAAATGCAAAGCAGTGCAGCTGAATAGTGACCAGAGCACCATTTTGGGAGGCCATACAGGATACAGGCTTATTCAGCTCTAAGTTTAATTATGCAACCCTTTACAAAGAACAGTGGTAAACAAAGTGTTGTAGACCTAAGAAAACACACAAATCACATAAAACACAAGAGGAAAAAAACTTACAATTCCAAAACAATCAATCAAAAATGACAGTTAGAGAAAACAGAAAAAAAAAAAACTGAACAAAAAAAAAAACAAGCGAACAAACCATAAACAACAGTAAGAATAAACACCAATATCTAGAATGGAGAAAAATGTATTTCGGGAGATGATTTAAAAACAGAAAGTAAATAAGTCCTCTTGATCTTGATCTAGAAAAGAAGATGATTCAACTGTTATGGTGCAGCGACTGTAGACACTCTTGAAGTCACCATTTAACCCTCTCTTTTCGGCTTTGGAATCAACATCAATGACTGAATTGCTGACCTGAAGGTCAGTGAGGGTATATATTGCTGATGAAAAAGGTCAGACAGAAACTCTTAGGCAACTCTTAGGCTAGAACTTTAATATCAGACCAGAAACAAGCTTGTAGCTTGTGTAGTGGTGGGAAAACATTTGGTCCTGTCTAACAGGAGTTCTGCAAGTGAAAACTGTCCTGATCTGACATAAAGTGCATAGTTTAAACAACTTGATGAAATCATGAATTGAAATCCTGAAGTGATCCTAGGAAAGCAACATTTTTGACTTTGGCCAGTAAAAAAATGGGACTTGACCCCTAATTTAACCTGAGCATAAAGCTCACGGTCGCTGTACAACCTCACACCAAGGGTTATTGCTGTGCAACTTACTCTTTTAACCAGATCAGCAGCAACTTTGGGAGAATGACCGGATTAGAGCAACACAACCTATGTCTGATTTTCATTAGAATATAAAAAGTGCACAAACATCCATTTCTTTATTTGACTGTTGCAGTTGAACAGTGTTTTTATTTTTGTCCTGCTTCATTGGTGTATGGATGGATGGATGGATGGATGGATGGATGGATGGATGGATGGATGGATGGATGGATGGATGGATGGATTTATCTGGTCAAAATCGATCTCTGAATTGCTCCATCATTCACAGCCATCCAAGTGACCTGAAGCATCGTTTCCACCGCCACCAGTCGTCGGCTAGTCTTCATGGCAGCTTTAACCACAACCATGTCCAGGAGACCAACCTGCCCTTGGTGGCTGAAGAGCACGATGAGCACCATGACAACAAAGGGCCGATCTATGACCCCAAGCAGGACGTGTTCGTCAGCCTCTTTGTAAGCAAAAAAAGATTTCATCAAAAGCTCATGAGAGAAATCTGGGAATTGTGGGCGAAGAAAAGCAGTGACCCAGATGAAACGGAGCAGGGAGGGAGAAGTCTTTATGTTATGAAAGGACTAGAAATGGTGATTAACCAGTTTTGACAAGAGTGCACTGAGATAATTAAAGCCAGCTATCTAAATGGTCTGAGATAAAAGGGTCCATGAATTGTCTTGTTGTAGTTTCTGGATTTTATTAAGAATAAAGAACCACCAATAAGCTCAGAATTTAAAGCAATCACCCTGATGTTAGGTTCTCACGTTGTTCTTTGAGTCCATGAGTCAGATGTTCTGTAGGTAGATCATGAAGCTGGAGACAGCCAGCCTCCCTGGGCCATATGTCTTGAATTATTGTCTGAGTCAGCAGACAGGTGCTTCCAGTTAAGGCTTCTTGATATGTTAACTGTGAAAACTTAATATTCTCGAAGCCCTCCAGAGCTGGCAAACCAAAACCAGCCTACAATAAAGGAAAGAAAAGTTCCTTCAAACAAAAAGCAGTTTTACATGCGTGTGGTTTAAAATGAGAGTTATAAAGACATTAGATATCTGAGGTTCCCACAGTTCCTTGTCTCACCCCACTGTCACTGTGGAACATCATGTTGGAGCTGGCAGTAAATTGGGTAATCTCTCCATTGTTCTTTCCAAGAAATCTCTCCATCCTCTGCCGCCGGAGCATCATCCAGCTGCAGCCAGATCCATGAAGCTGCTTGCCAAAATTCCTAAAGATGCTGAAGCTGTCATTGTTTTAGTTGGTAAGCTCACATATTTTTGAAAGCTATTTATTCTGCCAGTAATGGTGATAAGAAGACTGGTTTTCTTGCTCCCCCCCCAGGCTGTGTTGAGTTCCTGGAGCAGCCTGCCATGGCCTTCGTCCGGCTGAGTGAGGCCGTCCTTCTGGAATCTGTGCTGGAGGTTCCTGTCCCCGTTCGCTTTATATTTGTCCTCCTCGGTCCCAGCCAGTCTAATGTGGACTATCATGAGATTGGGCGATCGTTCGCCACTCTAATGTCTGACAAGGTAAATTAATACACAAGTCCTGAACCCACACTGCAAAAAAATCAAAGTCTAGATAAGTCATTTTTTCTTAAAATAAGTGCATTTGTTCTTGAATTGAGGAGACAAAAGAGACATCTTGCCAATGGAAAAAGACAATTTAGATTTAAAATAAGAAAACACAACTGCATTGTCTTATTTCAAGTAAATATTGTCCAATTATCTTATTTTAAGAGTAAAAATACTGATTCCATTGGCATTCTCATTTACCTACTCAAATCAAGGGTAAATACACTTAATTTAAGAAATTTGTACTTATTTCTAGATCATTTTTCCAGCACATTTACCACATAATTCATGTACATAGGTTAGAGGGTTAGAGGAAGAAAAGGATATAGTTTGAGATTGCAAAAATCCTCAGCACAAGGAAGCAACATAGATGTAAAAAAAACCATAGTGTGGGTTGTTGGTGAATGTGGTATAGGGGTGTGCATATTTATGAGCATGTATTCGTGCATGTAAGTATTTACAAAGTAAGTCAATGAAAAGCTTTCCCATAGACCATTTTCCTTGATAGTATAATGTAATGTTCATCAGACAGCCACACACAGAGCAGGTTTACAGATGTATTAATTAGGGGTGTAAATCACATCCATCATGGCGTTTCGATTCATTATTGATTTCCGGACCCAACGATTTGACTGTTTTCGATACTCAAGAATACACCACGATACGATTCGATTCAATTAATTGGTTCTTTTTTTTTTTTTTTTTTTTTTTTTTACAGGCTAGACAATGTTTCAAATTTGAAATAAATCAATGAAAGCAGTAATATCGTTATGCATTTTTTTTTTGAGAACCAGCAGCTATTAACAGAAGTAGAAAAGTTGCACTCCAACTATTCCTATTAAAACCTGATTCACTGAAAAATAATTATACCCCTCTGTTATAGATTCTGAAAGGTCTTGCATCATAAAATACTGTACAAAATCAGTGCAATGAGTGCAATTCAATATCTCTGCTCCAGACATCCCCGCCCCCTCCACAGACGCTCTGCTGCTCCTCTCCCAAATTGTAGCTGACCGCAAACAGTGCCGCAGACAGACGCCGGCTTGTTTTGTTTTTATGACCGAAATTGCGGAAAACAACTCGTGAAGTTTGACCCGCTAGAGGAGCGAGGTGCGCGAGAACGCTGGGACCCTTTTTCCACCTGGATCTCCGCTCTTTTTGGCCCTCATGTCCCTCCGTCGTCGGACTAAACTCGCCCCCACTTCCTCACCCCTTCGGCCGTATCTAGACCCACAGTGTGTAGCTCAGACCATGCTTCAATAGTGGGCATAAATCAAAAATGTCTGTGTAGAGCTTACTGCAATACACTGCTGTAAGAGTATAACCAGGAAGGTAGGAGGGCAAAATAGGTTTAGCACCACCGCAGCACGGGAGGAGAATTATGTCCAGGAGCAAATGAATAGAAATAGACCTGAGGGAAAAAAAATACATGAATCGATTCTCTTGCGATGCATCGGATCGTCGGCTGTTGGATCGATGCATCGATACAAAACGATTATTATTTACACCCCTAGTATTAATGGAGGGGATGAGGCAGAGGGAGCATGTTTACATAATGTCCACGAGGAGTTGAAGATATACACCCAAGGCCATGCACTGGAGCAAGATTCAGACAGAAAAAAGTTGTTTTGGTTCAGGCTGACATCTTATTTTCTGTCTGCCCTAAGAGTCTTGTTGGTGCCTCACAATGGCAAACCCAAATACACAAATTTCTGGTCCTTCCGCCAGATCCAAGCTAACAACTTTCCCCAAGTTTATGCCACTTCACCTCTGAACGCGATCCTGTCTCATTTATCATAACCAGTTTACAATTCTGCTACCTTCACATCACAGTCTCAGTGTTCATACAGTACGTCTACAGAACCCCTCACACACGCCGGGCAGCCTCACAATGGCAAGAACAGCTGCCAATGTTTTTCTGAAATTTCACATATACAGAAATCCTGTTACCAAAAACCGCATTATGTATGTTTCTTTACGTCCTACGCTGACATTGTAAGACGTACAATCTTCCATTTTTCCCAGGAGTCCATTGGGTTTCTGGAGAAAAACATCCTGTCTGATCAGGAGGGTTCGCCCTTAACCTGTCTTCCTGTGAAGAAAATTTGATCAAGTCCATTGAGAGACCAGCTGAATAGATCCATAATTCACAGTTTTTGGAACGTATTGAAGAAGCTAAAAAAGAAGACAAAAAAAATCGTTAACCAATGCAGACAGGGGAGGCTGTGGGAGGCCGAGAAAAAGTATCCTCCTCAACCAAGAGCAAGTCTGAGAAAAAAAGGAAAAATTAACAATAACACAATCCACTTCGAAGAGAGTTGTTGTCAGCTCAGCCTTGTCCACTGTTTGAAATGAAGAAAAGATAATGTGATTTGCATTAATATTTAAAAATACCTGTTTTCTGATATGGTGTTGTTGTAGAACTTCCATGAGGTGGCCTACTTTGCAGATGACAGACAGGACCTCCTGAGTGGTATCAATGAGTTCCTGGACTGCAGCATCGTCATCCCACCTTCAGACGTGGAGGGCAAAGACCTCCTGAAGACAGTGGCAGATTTCCAGAAGCAACTTTTGCGGAAGAGGAAGGATCGAGAAGGCAAGATGCACCAGTCCATGTACGGAGCGGAGCAAGACAACAAAGGTAATCTGGGAAAATGTACGCCACAAGTCACTTTTTGCTGTGTTAACAATATTCTAAATAAATGTGTTTTTGTACATTTAGTAAATTGTTTTTTAGTAATATTTTCAGTTTTACCAAATATGTAAGAATTGGTTTCAGAAATGTAATAAGTATTGGTTTACTGTATATAGATTACTGTATTTTACTCATAGGTGGTAGCAGTTATCTCTGTTTAGACAATCAAAATTATCTTTTTATGAGGACTTTACATTTTTTAAGAGAATACAAACAAATTATGGTTTTCAAACAAATGAATGTTGTACAAATGTGTGATTATTTTATTTTATTTTTATTCTAAACAGTCTGGGAGAGTATTTCTGTAAAGGTTCTACACTAGTTTCTCCATCCGGTTATGATGGCTCTCTTTGTGATTCTTTGTTGCCCATTGTACTGTTTCCTTTAGCTTACCTCATTGTGTGAGACAAGTTCTATTAAGGGGTCTGACAATTTTGTAAGTCTGGCAGTAATCAGGGTTGGGTTTGGTCACTAAATCAATACCAAAAAGATGTGGTTATTGGGTCCTCCAAGTAGCTTTTTTTTCGTAAAAAAATTAAACCATCTTATGAAAAACTTGTACTCATGTTACATTAAGAGCTTTTTCTCTAGCCTTTTACGTAGCATTGGGATTTAAATAGCTTAGGTTGATTTTCAATATACTAATATAGCAAGATAATTTACACTTTCCAAGGCCTTACTTTCGCGGGTAGGTGTACCTGGTCTGGGGTTTGCCCTTCTGAGATTATCTCTGGATTGTAGAAGAGGGAGGATTTTTTGAGCATTAAGATATGCTACAATACATTGTACTACCAGCTGGGTCAGTAATCAGATGTAAGTGAAAAAATATAGTTTTGATATTGTTAATTTCTCAAAAGATAGTTTTAGTTATTTCTAGGTGAGAAAGTAAACCTAAGAACTTCAACTCTAGATTCAATTTGTCAAGAATCAGGAGTGCCCTATACTTACTTATTAAGTGGCTATGTTCTGGGCTTTATAAGCATTCTAATAGACAAAATCTTTCCCAAACAATTAGTTTCTGTTTTTGCTGTATGTATTTAAACTGACTTTGAAAAAATAATTATGTATATTGCTTTAAATAATAATGGATATATTTAAACATCTCCTGCCTGGTAGAGGTAGCCTGGGTGCCATTCCGAACTTAGTCCCGCCCACAACGTTTGAGGTCGGGAAGTTCGGTCTGGCATTGCTCAGTAGTAGCGCAAGAATGCTCGCACAATATCTGGCGGGCCAATCAAATTGTCAGGGCGGGCTTTATACGATGATGGACAGATGATTAACAGTAACGTAATCAACCACGTGACCAAAGCGCGCATGGGTGACAACAACAATGGCTGCCGCTGGAGAGTTTAGGTGATTAGATTCTGCTATTAGGTCTGTTCTAGAAGATATCGACAGCAAATTAATTTTAAAATAGGAACAGAGAAACGCGATCAAGGCTCATCTTCTTATTCGAGGCGTGCAACTGCACGCTTTGATTTTTGTTGACAACAACTATGCGTTGCTTAACATACGTCACGCACTCCGTTGCTCTTATTGGTTGTAGGTCTATCCAATTGAGTGCAGAGGCATTTTTTTTTCCTGGTTCGTTCGAAACACGCCCCATAATCACAGCTCTATGGAGCAGTATCAGACTGATATTCTGACTAGAATTGAGTAGGACTATGTCAGGCTATGGTAGAGGGTGGTAAAACTTAAATGTAAGATATTAATTTAAGCTTTTCCTTTTTTATGGATCCAGAGAAAACTTAAGAATAAAATAAATCAACTGTATGACTAAAGCTCTTTATCATTTACTATTATCAGCTCAAACAAAAAAATTATTATAATAAAATTTTCTTTTAACGGGAGTAAATAATTAAATCCAGATGTAGTTCTCAATGTTATTTGAACAAATGGCTTACAGCATAGATTATTAGCACCACCTGCTGGACTGAAGCCGTAGTGCAGCTATCTTTACTACTCCACCATGCAACATTAGGCTAATTTTCATTATGTTCTGCAGTCTTTTAAAGTCATGGAAACAGGAGGGGCATAGATTCCCTGAGATTCTTTTGACCTGGGTGAAACAAAAATAGTTCCTTTTTTGGTAAAGAAAACTATGATTAAACTCCTACAGCAGAGGTGAGTCCAGAGGAGGAGGAGGAAGCCGAACAGGAGGTGGACCCGTTAAAGCGCTCAGGAGTCCCGTTTGGAGGCCTCATCCACGACATCCGCAGACGCTATCCCCTTTATGTCAGCGATTTAAAAGACGCCCTGGACATGCAATGTGTTGCTGCCGTCATCTTCATCTACTTTGCTGCTCTTTCCCCCACCATAACATTCGGAGGCCTGCTGGGTAATCATCATTTTTGTTTTGTGCTTTTAGAGGGGAATGCTTTGTTTAACGTAGTCCTGAAAGCCTGACTGAGCTGCTGGTCGTTTTAGGAGAGAAAACCGATGGCTTGATGGGGGTGACTGAGCTCATTGTTTCCACGGCAACCCTAGGAGTTATCTTCTCCTTGCTGGCCGGTCAGCCACTGCTCATCATCGGTTTCTCTGGACCTTTGCTGGTATTTGAGGAAGCCTTTTACAAGGTGAACATCAAAACACCCAGAAATTAATGAATCATGTTGATATCAGTTGTTCACAATGTCAGTCGGTTAAACAACACATTGTCTTTCATCAGTTCTGTCAGGCGTACAACTTTGAGTACCTGACCGGTCGAGTTTGGATCGGTTTCTGGCTCATCTTCATCGTCCTGGTGATCGTGGCTGCTGAAGGAAGTTTTCTTGTCCGCTACATTTCTCCTTTCACGCAGGAGATTTTTGCTTTTCTCATCTCTCTCATCTTTATTTATGAGACTTTCTCTAAGCTTATCAAGGTAACTGCTTTAATATGTAATAAATGACAGTTTTTCACCATGAGTTAAAATCTAAAACATAAAGAAAGATGAGCATCTCGTAATTTCTTGATAATTTATCTCTTTGAGTTTAACTAAACTTGAGCATATCTATTTTTGATTCCAGGTGTTTAAGGAACATCCACTGATGACAGTTTACCCCTCAGACTCCAACTTAGATGGAGGTTTTAACAGTTTGGATGGTTCAATCCTCAATCAGCCCAACACTGCTCTCCTGTCTCTGGTTCTCATGATGGGGACCTTCTTTGTTGCGTTTTTCCTCAGGAAGTTCAGAAACAGTCGCTTTTTGGGTGGAAAGGTAAGAACTTTTTTTGTAGTTGTTAATGTTTAGTCTTAAATTCGCCAAATGTTTTGTGCAAAATGAAGAACATGTTTAAAATGTTCTTCCTTTATTACTAGAGCAGATAGTGATGCATTTACAACGCAGCAAGGGTTCTGGTTCCCATACAGTAGGTTAGATAGTCTCGACAGTTTTGTTTAAAAACGACACATTTCCAGAACTGATTTCTTCAATTTCAACTCAAAGAACAACTGAGAGACCCTCATCAAATTCCACATTTAACACGCCACTCAATAATGGGTTGAAAGCTGTTGTAAAGTTGTAATTCATTCAATTCAGTTTATTTATACAGCGCCAATTCACAACACGTGTCATCTCAAGGCACTTTACAGTTCACCAGATCATACAGTCAAAATGATTCAGAGTTTTCTGTCTAAGGAAAACCAGTTAATTGCATCGACTCATTGACTCAAAGGCAATCCCTCACAGTAAGCATGCTTGTAGCGACAGTGGAGAGTTAACACTCCCTTTTAACAGGAAGAAACCTCCAGTAGAACCAGGCACAGTGTGAGCGTAGATCTGCAAAGGCCATCTGGGGTTCATGGAGACAGAGTTAGGCAAATGAACATCAGAAAAGCCTAGGAGAAAGTCCTTGAGATCAGCTAAAACCCTCTGGCATTTGAGTCTATTGCCCTACCAAAATATAAGTATTTCTTATTCGGTTGGCCAAAATGCAGCACAATTTTAATCTCTAATCCAGAAGTGTCTAAATGTGTCTGACTGAGTCTCCTAGTGAGACAAACATCCAAAATTTAAAATAAAATCATCAGCAAGGAAATGCCATAGAGTGGTCTAACTAGTTCGAAGAACTCAACCTTACCCTGGAACTTTGAGTTTCTGAGGAGAAGCCAAGAAACAGGAAGTGGACATATGCCATGGACAGATGTCCATGCCTAGTAAGTGAAGATTAGGCATGGACAGATAAAAAAAGAAAATCTGGACTATGAAAAACCAACCACAGTGCTGAAACTCTCTGCTTTAATTTAACAACCACAAACACTGTCACATGACCAAACACATTTCACATGACATTACCCTCCTAAAATAGAATTAAAAACTTAATGATATACATGACACCCCTGTTAGTTGTACATTGGTCCAATAATTTTACTTTATTGGACCAGCCCCACTATTAATGTAGATATATCGTGCATTTCTAGATTCTAGATTTGACCAGATAGAGACAAACTAAGGACTGGATATGATGGTTGGAAACTCAGGGATCTCCAGCACATTCATGGTCCAATTTAGCGAGAACATTTAATACTTTTTTATCCAATGGGATGAGGATTCGGTACTTTTCTGAATTTCTTGTAAATCCATCCATCATGTTTCACTTTTCTGGGTTTTGGCAGGAATCACCCGAGCTTCCCAGGCATGAAAACCATCCTATAAATATTTCCTCAGATAAGATTTAGATGGATAAGCAGCAAAGATTTTTATGTTTATAATCCTGATTACTTTATGGTTTTCTAACCTAGTTACCTTTTTTTTAACATCCTTAGGCCAGAAGAATTATCGGAGACTTTGGGATTCCAATTTCTATCCTACTATCTGTGCTGGTGGACGTCTCCATTCCTGATACCTACACTCGGGTAACTTCAGCTTGTGACTCCCGTCACTATCAGAACATAATAAAAGGTTTTCCTCCTTACATATAGCTGCTTTTTTTTCTTTCAGAAACTCAACGTGCCATCTGGATTTTCCGTCACGTCTCCTGACAAGAGAGGTTGGCTGATCAGCCCATTCGGAGACAAGCAGCCGTTTCCTACCTGGATGATGGGAGCCTCTGTTGTCCCGGCTCTTCTTGTCTTCATTCTCATTTTCATGGAAACTCAAATCACTTCGTGCGTCTCATCAGTGACACATCAAGATGCTTCTGTCTGCTGTGTCTGTTGTTAGTGTTTATTTAGGAGTTCTTTCTCAAAACTCCCAGATTGATCGTCAGTAAGAAGGAGCGCCGTCTCATGAAAGGTTCTGGCTTCCACCTGGACCTCCTGCTCATCGTTGTCCTCGGCGCCATCTGTCCGCTCTTTGGCCTGCCGTGGCTCACCGCAGCCACCGTTCGATCTGTCACTCATGTCAACGCGCTCACCGTCATGAGCAAGGCCACGGCTCCTGGAGAAAAGCCCATGATCCAGGAGGTGAAGGAGCAGAGGCTGACTGGGCTTCTCGTAGCGGTGCTTGTCGGTAAGTTGAAAGATCTTAAATTCTGTGGGGGTTTTTTTTTTGTTATTTCATGCAGGCCTGTTAGTTATATGTCAGCTTGTACACCTAAATTCGCCCAATCATATATCAACGGTCATCTGTCATTGAAATTTTTTCGGTCATAGCATCTTGATTCATATGTCGCAGCTAATATACATAATGGTTTAAATAAGAAATAAGAATAGTTTACTTTCCCATTGAGTTCCGTCCCAGTGTTCACGGGAATGGACTTCTGTGTCTTCGGCAGGCGTAGAGCTAACAGAACTGGCAGCGTTGCGAGGCAAGGGCTCAAACATTTACAGCTGTAAGCCTGAAAACCACTTTTCTCCACTAAATAAAAAAATGTATGATGGAGGAGACTCATCCGCGACCTCCGGCAAAAAACTCTCCTCCTCTTGCAGGTTTCAGCTGTCCATAGCGCTCCTTAACAGTGTCCCATTGGGAACCTACTAGCACTAAGTTGCTAACTGGTTAGCAAGATGCTTCCGAGAAACTGGCCACAATCAAACTTTCTTGCAAACCACAACAATCCCACGCCCTTGATAAGCAGCCATTCACATTCACTGTATTCACTCGTGTAAAGTCTGGCACCACTCAGGAGATTTTGGAAATGCAACGGTTGGAACATCCGCTCCCTACGACTTTAAAGAGAATTATTAACTTAATCGTTTAAGTAGACCCTTTTGAAGGTGTTACCATGGAGATTAAGGCAAGTGCTTCCTAGTTGAGACAAAATCACACAATGAATTTGTCATGTTCTTTTTAAGGGATGTGACCCACATGCAGGAAACCACTCAGAGAACCAGAGTAAAAATTTAACAGGTTCATTGAAAACACACAATGCATTGGATCCAGAGTTACTCAGAGAGCTGGTGAACCGGAACTGGAAGTGAGAAGGGAAGTTCAGAGTTAAGTTCAGGTTCCGTGGGAAACTTGAACAACGACTTGCAAATACATAGATTTAAACGGGACTCACGTTTCCCAAAAGGTGTTCTTCCCAGAATCCAGTCGGTGTGGATTATTCCAGGACTTGGTTGACTCATTGGAGGGCGGACAGATTTTACTTTGGTTAGGTTGGTTCCTTGAGGAGCAATGAAGTGGACTGCCACTTAGATTTCCAGGAGAACTTGAACGCACATGTGGAGATTTATCCCCTGCTCAATAGCTACGTTTACATGCGCAAAATTTCCCCGATCCGATCCAAACCTTGGTTGATCGGAAATTCAAAATCTCCGTTTACATGGGCACTAAATGAAATGATCCGATCATGACGCGTGTATACATGTACCAAGCGTTGGATCAGATTAAATCTTTTAAGCGTGCACAGGACTTCCTGCCAAACTTGGCAGTTCTGTCTGCGTCTGGTTTTTGGGAGGCCTGACAAACGATGCGCTCGGAGCGAGCGGAAAGAAAAAAGGAGAGAGGAGGAAAAAAGCGCTTGGCAGCGAAATGTCCGAGAGAAAATGTAGAGAATGAGCGATTGAACCAGTGTGGGAGAGCGAGTGGGCTGTGGAGAGAGAAAAGAGGAAGAGGAGGAGGATAAATTCCTGCTTCCTGCAGCTTTAAATGAACTTGAGTGTATAAGTCGGCGTTCCTAGACTCCTCCTGCCATGTTGTTCACAACAAGAGCGAGAGCGACCGGTGGTTTCCTGTTGTTGACAAGGCGGAAAAACGTCACGCTGACGTTGCACACATGTGCAGTGAAGATTATTTTACTCTTAAGATCCGAATGGGTGTTTACATGGACGCCAATCGGAATGGCGATCGGCAAAAACCACCTCTCTCTTTCGGAATTAAATTTAGATCCGATCGGACCGAATCGGATTAGAATCTTCAGTCTGACATGTTTACATGAAACATTTTTGATCTGATCAGGCCTTCAATCCGATTAGTTGTGTCCATGTAAACGTAGCTAATGTGAAGCTCAAGCGATCCTTCCAGGGGGAGAAGGCCAAACGTGCTCTGCTAGAGTACCCAAGACTTGCAAACACTCTGGCGTCAAGGTAGTGACAGTCCACTGCTTAAGAGAGAATTTACTATTTGATACCATATAGTCAAATTCATTTACTATGTTTTTCCCCAATATATAACAGCAGTAAAGTTGCTATTTTTTTTATTTTATTTTTCTGCAGTTTTTCTTACAATAAGTTTTCCCAAAATACAGTTTCATTCGAACCAGCTTTCTGCTTTTATTTTCTGTATTGCCCTGGTTTGGGGTTTTAAAGACTGAATAGTAAAGTCAGCAGTGTTTTAGAATATTTAGCCCACGATTGATTGTCATCTAATGAGCCTGTTTTACCGGGGGAGTCTTGATGCCATCAGTTATAGCTCCAGCATCATCAACACTTATGAAACATTTAGTAGTAACAGTGCAGCTGTTACCGTGGTGACATTCATGCTTGTACGGACAGAAAACCAGGTTAGACTGATGGTTTGAGGGCTGCTTCTTTTCACTGCTCGGTGGTTACGTTCCTCTGAGCTGACGCTGGATGCAGCTTTCTTATAAAATGTGACTGGCAGGCAACAGAAGAGTCTCAGCATCTCTGTTTTGTTTGCAGCTGCAGGGGTTTTATTTTTATTGACATTGATTGCTGTGTTGGGGCTTTCCAGGCGTGTAAACATAAACTGGAAGGTTCTGAGCACCATCTTTGCAGCTCCTGCATGTCTGAACAATCGAGAAAAGTGACTCATGCAGTGCAGAAGCTTTCAGCTGTTCTTTTGCTCTCTGTTATGAAATAATCACAGTAACTATTGAATAAGTTTGTTTTCATCTTTTATTAAGTGAAAGATTCCTATTTGTTGTGTTTTGATCTGGTGTATGCTTCTTCCCTTTATAATGCAGCTTTGGTCTCAAATTTCCATCAAGTAAGGCCATATTAATTTAAATGTGGAGAGATTGTGCATCAAATGACTAAAATGGTTTTTATTAAGTTATTTTTGTTTACTCATCCATAAAGAGTCCTGATTACTTAGAAAAGCTCAAACATCTGCAGTTAAATCCACTAAAATGTAGACACTTCTCTCTTATTTAGGTGTACATTATTTAAACACTGTTTCATAACCTTCAATAAGCCCCTGACCTTCTTGTGGCTCAATATTTCACCACATAAAAGCACTATTTGGTTGGCAGATTTACTAGATTCATCCATCCAAAATAGGAGGATAGTTCTTCTAATGTCCAGCTAAATTTCAGGTTGTTCATTTGAAATGAAACAATCAGAGCTACCCAGAGTACCACTGGTTCCCACAGGTTAGATAGTCTGCACCGCAGTGCAGCCCGAACTATCTTAAACAAAAAAAACAACTTATAATAATCACAAACATTTATACGACATTGTTGTTGACCCCTCTTTTTATGGAAGCAAGACCCACCATGGCACGCAAAAAAAATTTGAATCCAACAAAGGTAATAACAAGTAAAAAGTCTACAAAAATGAAAAATCGAAAGTGAGTCATTGCTTTTCAACCATGCATCATCAGGACAACTTTAAAAATGAACTGATGAAACAGGCCCATGTGTATATAGATCAGTCCGCCTGCCTGCGGTGAGCGTTTCAGAGACCATAATATCTAATGAATGCTCATTAATCCATCTCTGCTCTCAGGTATGTCGATGGTGATGACTGATGTCCTGCGCCACATCCCTCTGGCTGTCCTCTTTGGGATCTTCCTCTACATGGGGGTCACGTCCCTGACTGGCATCCAGCTGTACGAACGCATCACTCTCATGGTCACTCCAGCCAAGCATCACCCTGACCACGTCTACGTCACTAAGGTAATGCATTCATTCCTCTTGTTGATTAACAGTTCTGACTTTTTAATCATCTTTCAGACTTTGGCTCCTGTTTTATTTTACAAAATCAACTCCTTTTTGTTTTTTTGCTTTTATTCTGCTTTTTGTGGTCCAATCGTTTTATTTGTTTTACAAATGTTTTTGCTTTTATTATGCTTTTATTTTTTCTATTGTATTGTCTAATTCACGTAAAGCACTTTGAATTGTCCATGTACTGAATGAAATTGCCCAGCCTCCCTTAAATCCAATCTTGAAGCTGTTAGCTGGCAGCAACCTTTTAAGGTAATTAGTTATTTTAACTTGATCTAGTTGTTTGTGCTCTTTGCTGGTTCTGATCCAATTTTTTTGACAGAGACAAAATACTGAAGCGCCTGAAGGATGAAAAAAAACCTTTTGGATCTAAAATATGGAGTTTATGATCCAAACTGACTCCAGAACATATTTGAGCCATCACAGCCTAAGGTTGTCTTTGTCTTTCTAATCATACCTCATGTATTTTTTTGTCTTTTCAACCATTCTCCTCTGCAGATGCATTCATTCTCAGTCCGGTTGTTAGATGGTTTTTAAAGCCTCTTTCATTTGTGCACTGTGTCACTGTGGTATTTAAAGACAAACTAGTCATAGTCTTAAACATTCTCCCTACAGTTGACCACCATCAACCTGTATTCAATTAAATTCAGTTTCAATTTAGTTTATTCATATAGCGCCAATTTACAAAGCATGTCATCTCAAGGCACTTAACAATTCATCCAGATCATACAGACAAATTCACTAGAAGTTTTCTATTTAAGGAAAACCAGTTGATTGCATCGACTCATTGACTCGAAGTAAAGCCCTTCACACTAATCATGCCTATAGCGACAGTGGAGAGGAAAAACTCCCTTTTAACAGGAAGAAACCTCCAGCAACAGGAAGAAAGGTCCAGCAGGAGTAGCCAACTCCAGTCCTCAGTAGGAGGCGCCCTGCATGTTTTAAATGCATCCCTCATTCATAATACCTAAATCCAATGATTTACGGCAAAATTTCCTTACATGCTAAGAAGGTGCTTTATACAGTCGAGGCGGATCTAAAGCTGACATTGACTGTTGAGCTGAGGAGTTGGACACTAGTGCTCTATGTAGAGTGCTCCCAGTTCAAGTAAAACATACATTACATTAGGCATCCCCAGCCTCTGTCCTTGAGGCCCGCTGTCCTGCAGGTTTTAGAGGTTTCCCTGCTTTAACACAGCTGATTATAATGATTGCAGCAGACCAAGAGCCTGTTAATCAGCTTTCGAATAAAATCAGCTGTGCTGGAGTAAGGAAACCTCTAAAACCTGCAGGACAGCGGGCCTCGAGGACCGAGGTTGGGGATGCCTGCATTACATTAGAGAACTGCTGCTACTGTGCTTCTCGGTGAAGCTAGCATTAGCCTGGTGCCAGACTTTTGAAGATTTGATGCTTCGTCTTCAGACTGAAAGTTAAACCTTTGGTTAACCAGACCATCTGGTTAAATGGTCGATGTACCATAACCAGAGGTGTTAAGTACAAGTACTTTGCTAACTTAAGCAGACATTTTGGCTATCTATATTTTACTGCAGTAATTATTTTTTAGACAACTTTTTACTTCTTACATTTCTTTTGCAATTATCTCTACTTCCTACTTCTTATAGTTTAAACTCATTAGACTCGTTAGTCTTGTTTCATTTAAGCTAATTTTGGTTATGGCCTGTTAAAATATAAAAAAAAAAAAAAAAAACATCAGAATAATTAGTTTTATTTAGACTTTTTTTGTTTTTGTTTTTGTGGTTAGACTTGGGACTGCACCAAATTATTGTTCAACTCATAACAACATTTTTTCAAGATGATGAAGTTAAACTTGACACTGCTACCATTGAATATAAAAGTAACTAGAAAAAGCTGTTTCGGAGAAACATCAAAGTGGGAATGCTTTTGCTGAATGAAAAAAGCTGAAATTACCTGAAAAACATAAGAAAATGTGATAGGAAGTCATCAGAAACTTCAAACTGCAGAAAACAATTGAATCATCTGAAGATTTTGTAGGGTAGAATCATTTGGCAGTAAAATGGCAGAAACAAACTCATCTTAAAAGCTGCACAGCCAAACCATACATGATATCAAAAAATGTCTTGAAAGTGGGCACTAGAAGGGTCTTAATATAATGTCTCCCAAGTTTCTAGAAAAATGTATAAAGAAATTTTGAAGGGGGGTTTACCTACTTTCCAGAAACATGTCAGGTGTGTTATGAATTAGCAGCAAACAGAAAAGCTTAATTCCTGTCCAGAAAAAGAGCAGAATGAAGCCAAAGTTCACAACATAGGCTGAAAAGTATGAAATTAGCTGAAGTAGAAAAGAAATTACAAAGAAAAACTTTAATCTTATCTGGTTGAAGAAAAAATTAGTAGCTTAAGGATGGGATGTAAAATGTTGAGGACGATGGTATTGAATAAGTATTAACATTTTAAAATCATATGTGGAAATGTCAAGACTTAGCAAAACAATTTGAAATGATTTAAAATGTGTCGGTTGATCAGCATAAAGAAAACAGTGTCATCCTTAGAGGATTGAAAATCTACAAACCTATGTGCAAGACTGACCATGAGAAGCAGAGGAAGGACAGAGAGAGAAGCTTATAGAAAGAGAGCTAATACCACTTAAGGAGCTGAATTTATCAAAAAAACTAACCTGCATGTTATGAGCTGCTGTGGTGATGAAAGCACCGTTGGCAGGCTTAGGCTGCAAGTTACGAGGTTAGCCGATGCTTTATTACAGTGGAAATCTTAGAACCTGATTAAGAAATATGCACTGAGGTGTGTGGTCAACAGGCCTTGGTAGTGTAATTTGAAGAAATTGGTTGAGTTTGGGTCATAGCTACGAGCCATACGGCACAATGAATGAGTATGGCTAAGGAAGAGGCTTTTATTTTGTAGGGTCCCTTTAGTCTTATTTCAAAAGTCTATCATGAATGTGTGTCAAGGCTGGGGTCATGCCCAGCAGTTATATGGAATCAATTTCTAAATGTGAAATCACTAATTTTCCATGTTATGGGGTGAGTAGATGCTGTATTAGAGCATAAATGGGAGACATTTATTGTGAAATTCGCTTTGGGATATGTTTTAGAAAGGTCCCTAGAGTCTAATAGAAACAAGCTGGTAGAGTTTGGGTCATAATGCAGAGCCATTTGCATCAATTAATACACAAGTATAATATAGAGGCTTTTATTGTGTAGGGTCACTGGAGTCTTATTTTGAAAGTCTAGCAGGGTTGTGTGTTGAGAAAAGGGTCAGACCCAGCAATGATACTTGATGACTTTCCAATCGTTAAATCACTCTTTTCCCCTGTTATTAGGGCAGTAGATGAAGTGGCAATGGGAGGCTTTTACTTTGAAATTTGCTGTGGGGTGTGTTTTGAAAAACTCCTAGAGTCTCATTTTTAAAAAAGTGGTTGAGTTTGGGTCATAATGTTGAGCCATATGCTGGGAAAAAATATGAGTTTAATGTAGGGGCTTTTATTTTGAAGGGTCCCCGGAGTCTTATTTTGAAAGTCTATCAGGGTTGCGTGTGAAGGGAAGGGTCATGGCCAGTAGTCATATTGTATCCACTTCCTAATGTTAAATCAGTGTTGTCTCCCTCCATTAGATTAAAATGTGCTGTTTAAAGTGGTGGAGGTAAAATCCTTTGAAGCTCGGTTACCTTGACGACGTTAACGAGCCTGTCAGTGAGAGAGAGACATGCGCATCACTTTCGTTCCTTAGTTCTCAGGCTTTTTTGAATGGGATTATCAGCTCCGAACAAACAAGTGCTGAAGACAAACCGTAAATGGTATCTAAAAAATTCTTTCAGTCTAAGCGAGAGCTATCCTTTGTCTCCGATTGGGGTAACTTTCATGGCTGTAGCTCATTCACAACCTTAATGGGAAGGAGGAATATAAAGGTTTGAGAAATCCTGCTGGTCTCATTGATTAACATGCAGCACAATGGTAGAGCAGAACTCTCAAAAGCAAAACTTTCCCTCCGAACAAACGAGCGGTGAGCCAAAACCGTATTAGGTATTCAAAAAATTCTTTCACCGTGAGCGTCAGCCATCTTTGGACTACAACTGGTGTGACTTTCATATTTCTACAATATTTCGTCTAGGCGTGGTGACGATGTAAAAAAGTGTATAATTGTCAAAATCTTGATTTTGGGGTTCGGACATATTTGTTACCCCCGAACAAACCTTTTTCCTAGCTAAACGATAAAAGATATCGACACACTTCCTTCAATGTGAGTGCTAGGAAGGTCTGAGGAACAACTTCCACAAGGCTCGTGTTGCTACGTCGAACAGTTTCCGAATGGGAGCGATACGAAAAAGTCTGTTTTTTTGAATTTTCAGTTCGGATTTTCAGAGAGCTCTCATTGGATTTCTATTGGAGAAGTGTGGACTTCTTCGTGGTCTGGGCCAAACTGTCGGAAAACCGTAAATGCCACACAGATGAGGGTTACATTTCCTGAATCCTGACAAAAATCCCTACGTTTTGATGTAAAATTTATCTAGATAGAGTAAAAAATGAGCGAGTGAGTTGAAGCTGTTCGGCATGAGTGAAATGTTTGAAAACGCTAGAGTGGCACACTCTAGCAGCTGAACATTCCGTCCATAGACTTCCATTATAAATCTGAAAATCTTTAAAAATTGTTTAAAAGTTTGAAGCTTCACTGAAGCAAAACTGTAAAAGTTAGCTGAAAGCCGAGTTAAACAGTAATAGCAGAAAGATACGGAAACATTTTAAAAGTTGAATGGTGTTTCTAGCTGAAAGTATGCTGAAGTAGTTAAAGGGCAAAGTTGCTGAAGATTTAGTGGAATTTTTGAAGTTTTACATGCATTTCAATGGGGCCAAAAATCGCAGAAAAAGCTGAATATCGCAAAAACTACGAACAATATCTTTACCAAAAGATATAGCAGAATTCTCCTGAACAAGCCGAACGTTTTGATACCAAATTTGTTTAAATCAGCTGAAAACTGTTGAACTAGTTAAACGAAGAAAAACCTACGGAATAATAATAATAAATATAAACAGAAAAACAATAAGTGGGAATGCATAAGCATTCCCACTTGATAATAAAGAGAAACAGAAAAACAATAAGTGGGAATGCATAAGCATTCCCACTTGATAACATTAAGAATAGGGAAGTTATCATCCAGAAAATGTCCCTTTAATAGGGTATTGCAGTAACCAGTATAAGGTTTAAAGCTTTTTTCCTTAACATTTTTTCCTGCACTTTTTTCAACTTTATACTTGAGTGTTAAAAATTGTACTTTTACACTTGAGTGTAAACTTGAGTAAAAAGCTTAAGTTAATTCTCTAACTTTTTAAACAGTAGGATATATACTTCTACTTGAGTAATAAACATTATTACTTTTGGCATCTCTGACCATAAATCTCTGATTAATGGAGTGCATTAGCAATGCTTCCCCTCCTGGAGGGTTCTTCTGTTCTTCCAAACGAGGATGAACTCCAATCAAATCTCTGAAGCTATTTGTTCTTAGTCACCTCTCAGAGTCTGGCCATCTATAAATAGATATGTTGAGGGTCCTTGCACTCTCTTCATTTATATTAAAGGAGACGTCAGTACATTCAGTGCTGTTGAAGCAGTTTGGTCTTTAGTGCTTTCTGGTTTGTTCCCCCAGCTGTAACCCCGTGTGTTACGCAAGCGTGTTTTGGAAAAAGTTTTCTCTGATCAGTTCTGAGACTGGTCTGTAATGTAATGTGAAAAAAAAAGTGGGATATGTGAATTTTTTCAGGAGGCAGTGAAAGCGATTTCATGTCTTATGTGATTTATTTTGTTTTTATGATCGTTTCTGAAGCTCCATGTAGCCACATGGACACATCACAGCTCTGTTTCTAATCCAAAGACCCACTCAGAACCACCTACATGTTGTTATGAAAGCCTTTAAAAGAGGCTATCAACATTAGTTTGACTCTTTTTTTAGAACCTGTACACCAGTTTCCACTAGATGGAGCCAAAAAATGTAAGATTTCTGCATGAAGTAGAGCCTTTTCTGGCCTGGGTGATAAATGAGTCTCAATAAGCACCTGCTAGCTTCTCTGTGTGACACGTGTGGTTACTGCCGCAGGTGAAGACATGGCGGATGAACATGTTCACCATCATCCAGCTGGCGTGCATCGTGGCTCTGTGGGTGGTCAAGTCAACGGTGGCCTCCCTGGCATTCCCCTTCATCCTCATCATGACAGTGCCGCTGCGCCGCCTGATCCTCTCCAGGATTTTTGAGGAACGTGAGCTTCAGGCGGTACGTTTGGGTAACGGCGGGATTCCAGGAATGTCTGAGGCTCAGCCAGGATCTTGTTCATCAGTTCACTTATTTTACAGAAAATTCAACACATGTAATTCTCTAGCGCAGGAGTCTGCTGCTGCAGTTCTTAAGTGGAGCTGTCCTGCAGGTTATGATGCATTTTTGCTCCAACACCTGATCCAGAAGGCAGATTATCCTCACTGGCATTATCCACATGTCATGCAAAGGCCTAATCATTAACCATATAGTATTGTACTTTGTTCAACTCCAACCAAAAGATGCAGGATGGTGGCACTAGAGGACTGCAGCCTCAGACACCTTTCCTCTGCAGTAATATATGGTTCTCATTGTATGAAGATTATGTGTAAATATTTATTTTGCTCTGTTTAAAAACCAGAAAGCAATTGAATTCATTAAAGAAATTTAGTATTTTTAAGTCGGACAAACATAAAACATCCAGTTTTTTTGTGTTTTTAACTGCAAAACATGATAAATTTAATGTATCAGTTAAACAAACTCTAAAATTAGAATAATCCAGGGTGTGGTTTAAATAACTCCTTTTGTATTATTTTATTAACTGTTATTTGCTTAATGAAACTGGAATTAAGCTAAAGGATAATAATTCATTTTGCAGCTGGACTGCGACGAAGACTCTCCCAACTTTGATGAGGATGGACGAGACGAGTACAACGAGATCCACATGCTTGTATGAATCTAAAGCGGAACCTAATGATAAGAACCTTCTTTGTCCTCCAGCTCCGATGGATCAAAGCACAAAGCCTTTCTGGAAAACGCAGTCGAACTCAGAGTTCGACAGTTTCATTTATTCCATTTTGTAAAAATCAGCACGGTTGTGATGCCGCTCTGTTAATCTCCATGAAGATTTACTTAGAAGTGGATAGTAGTGGTCTGTGCGTACCTGAAATGGACATTCTTGTAAAAATTGGAATCGTTTGTTTCCCTTTAATTACTCTGCAGGTTTGGGGAATAAGTGCCATGATAATGATGAAGTCTAACACAGCAGTGGGCTGGTGGGGGGTTCAGAGTGTGAAAAAAAACAAAAAACAGAAAATGCATCCTCTTTTGCTCTTTTTAAACAGTTTTTCTTTAGAATATATTTTTTTGTAAAATGACCCACATACTAAATTCAGAGCTGCCTGTAGTTGCACTGCCTTTTCCTCTGTACTGCCGTTATCTTTAAGCTGTAAATACAGTTCAGTTCATTTGTGCTTCTTGCTTTCTGCACAGACTTTTAGAAACGAGCACTTTGATTGCTGCCAGCTGAGCCTCCTGGCACATTATTTGTCTTTAAATGTAGATTTCTGTTTGAACTGTAGAGAAAACTGTGCAGCAGGTGGTTCTTTACTGTAAACCCCTAGTTGTCCGACCCCTTAACATATAAATATATAGATAATATGTGCCCAACCTTTATTTTTATACTTTATATTTATATTTTAGTGATTTTAACTTCATTAACTTGATGCTCTGCAAGATTCTCAGTGCTGTTTAGACTTTGAATAGTAAACTGATAACTATCAGTTTCTGAATCCTTTCTTTGAAGCCGTATGAATGTTAGAGCTGTGCTTTACCAACGTCTAAAGTTGCAAAGTTTGGATTTGCACGGAGGGTTTTCTACGTTTTTAGTTGGAAAGCCTTTATATTCTTCTGTTTTGTTCTTTGATCACAAATGCTTTAAAGCTGTGGGCAAAGATCAGAAATCAGCAGTACAACAGCCTCTTAAACAGATTGTGGTATGATGAGAGCTGTATCCAATCAAAGATCAGTGATTGCAGCCTAAATCTGACTTTTATATTATTGCCAAATGAGCCAAAGTGAGCCCTACCTAGCAAAGAGTCGGGTTGGAGAACAGACTGAACCTTTATGCTTAATCATTGGAGTAAAAAATATATTTATTTAAGTTGCATCCAGACACTAAAGAATTTTCTAAAGGTGGCAAATTTTCTTAGGATCTACTGTTGCTTTACATCCAAATATTTCTGATTGGCAGTAAAACTTGTATTGATTGTCTCTCCACATACTGTTTTTTAAATAAAAATTAGACTTTTGGGCAAACAATCCAGATCCTGTGACGCAATGCTTCTATTGGTCTCTATTGGATTTTACTCAAAGTAATTCCACTGCCAGAACCAGCAACTCTTCGGCCTGAAGTTTTAGCTACAGGATTACCTGATAGTTACTGGCTCAAAGTAAAGAAAAATAAAAAAAGCAATAACTTTTAATTTATCAATCTTCTGTATCCTACTTGACAACTACCTGTTAGCCAAATTATTTATTAATTTATATGTTAGCATTTTTGCCTATAGTTGCATATAAGTTAATGTTAGACTTTCAGAAAATATTAGCATGTTTGGTAATGTCAGTATACCATAATATACTATCAATAGATTAATGTGTGATCTAAGACTAGCTCCCTAGTTTATGTTAAAAAAAGGAGAAACTTACTGTAGGTAACAATGTCAATATAGAAGATAAATTAAAATAATAACTTAAACATGTCAAATCAGAAACTGGTTAAAATTCTTCTTATTTTTTTGGGGCAATTCTTGATTCTCTGTGCAGTTATTAATCTAAAATAATGGTTTAAGGTTCTAGATTGAATGATTCTATTCAAAAATATTTAAGTATTTTTTAATCAAAGATAAATAATAGCTAACGTTATTAACTACTAGTTAAAGTTTTGATATAATAATTAGCATGAGGTCCAAGAGGACCAAGGGGTAACAGATGATTAATTTGGACAGGCTAAATAACAGGGATTTAATTGCTTTTTTTTTTTTTTTTTTTTTTTTTTTTTTTTGTTAGAGCTGGAGAAAAGCTGAAGGTCTCAAAAAGTTTACATATTCTTACCATTTGTACCAGACGTAGCTAAAAACCTCACATGCTTTAATAATGTTTACAGCTGAACATTACCTGCATGCAGTGTTGGGGAGTAACGGATTACATGTAATGATGTTACGTAATTTAATCACAAAAAAAAGAGTAACTGTAATTTGTTACAGTTACAATGAGAAAATATGTAATTCAGTTACAGTTACTTCGGAAAATATTAAGAATTAGAAATTTAGTTACATTTTTTTAAGAATATAAAGAAAAACCTTTGCAAAATATGTAATGATATTTTTATTGCTATCGCCGTTTCCCGCTACGGCTCCTTGTCTCTATCATATTTGCCATTCTGATGATCCATCCTGTGCTGGTGGAGCCTCCTTGAGGAACAGCAAGCGAGCGGATGGTTCTATTTCAGCTCAAGCAGCGCATCAAAAATGACAGCCTTCCAGCACTGGAAATTTAAGAAGCATTTAATTTACATCTGTGAAAATGGCTCAAATTTAACCGTGCAGTGCAAGAAGTGTTTGCCGGCTATCAACCTGAACCTGCTTGTGTTAGTCTGCAAACTGCGCAAATGGTAGAGCCTGGGGGAGGAACAGAAAAGAGTATGGCCCGATGAGAGGAGTCTGAGAAAATCTTCCATGCCTGGTCCTGGCATCTCTTCTTGTGGACATCCTGTGATTGCCTGTCAGCAGTTCCCTCTCAGCTTAGTGCTTTTTTAAGGTTCACATTCAGTTCTCAAAAATTTAATGTTGAACATGGGTCAATACTCATTAAAACCTTAAAGTAATCAAAAAGTAATCAAAAGTAATTAGTTACATTACTTTTTAAAAGTAATCAAAAAGTTACACTACAGTTACATTTTAAACAAGGTAACTTGTAACTGTAACGGATTACATTTTTAAAGTGACTTACCCAACACTGCCTGCATGGCAGTGATAACAAATGTAGAACACAGCTAACAAAGGCTCCACACGACAACCATGAGGTTGGCAATATTTTCATGGACTTTGATGTGTGATATGAAGGGGAAAATCATCTGATAGCTATGAAAATATTCATACTAGATCCTGTTCAACCAATTTTGCGAGTAAGTGTCATAAGATGATGTAATGTAAAAAGTAAAATCATAGACATCAGCTGTGTCTTCATTTCTGAAATTACAACTCCTTTAAACGCTCCTAAAAAAAAAAAGCAGAAAATTTGACCTTCTTTATCCTGATTCCAAGGATGGTTCCAGTGTGTCGTCGTAGCTCGTCATGTCTGATGATTCATTGAACAGGCGGTCTTCTTCACCGCTATGGAAAAGGCGCCTTATTCTCTGTACATTGTGTTGAATCTACTGCTTGGAAGATGAAAGGCATTTAAAATATAATTCAGTCAAATGATATGAAATTATATAAGAATGTTTATTTTTTTACCCAGAAAATCTTGACAGTAATTAAAGATTTGCTGCAGAGCCAGATAATTTTATTAAATTTTAAAAGTCTCATGGCAGGGTAAATCAGAAAATTTAAAATCTGTTGATCTTCCAAATCTGTCATTATTATACAACTTAAGTTCTTCAAGTATTACACAAAAATAGAAATCATAGTAAAAGTCAGGATCCAGAAAACAATTTTAAAATTGTCCTCAATACTGTAGGATCACAAACCAGATTGTTCTTACCAAATACTTTTTGATTAAATGATAATTTTTAAATATTGCTTTTACCTTTTAAAACGAAATATTTTTTCTCTAGTTTTTGTAAATAAATAAAAAAAATGTTGATTGAATTTCCTTTTTTGATTTTCCAGTCAAAATAAAAAAATAAAGAATCCTCATCTATATCTATAGTCTATTAACCAATTAAGATTAGTTCAAAAAGAAAATGCATTAAGCAATCTGTAGCTTATAAGGTCTGTGTTTTGATAAACTGTCTGAAAGCTGTACAAAACTAAATTTCATTTTGTATACTCTATGTATAATAAATAACAATAAAATTAGTCTAAGTCTAATAAAGGAGTTCCTACTGTTTCAAATCAAGAGCTACAATTCATTAGTTATTTTTATATTGTTGCCCACTCATCCGACATGCAACAACTTTTTAGATCGTTTGTAAAACTAATGTTAATATTAGCCAATGTGCTAACAATGGCATTGCTAATATGTTTTTATTAGGCCACATGAATCCCATTTCCCTTTGGGTTTTTAAGATCTGATAAAACTCAGTGATATTTATAATTACTGTTTGCTGCTTTATGCAACTAGACTGTTCAAGCTGGTTAAAAACTACAGATTAATTTGAATATTTATTTTAGTTAAGGTCATTTTCTTCTGAGAATTAATTTATTGACTAAAAGCAGGTGAGTTAGTTGTGGAAAATCTAGCGATATTTTGAATTAGGAGGATTAGTTTAACACTATTTATCATGCAGAATACAAAAAAGCTGAAAAGTTAAGTAAGAGTTATATTGGGTCTTCATAATATTGAGGGTTGCCCTAAAGCATGTCTAAAGTCAACAATGTATAATAATTTACATGAACTAAACAAACTGAAGTTTATCTTATTTCACAAAACTTATCTAGATAACTGTATAAACCATGCAGGGTTTTTTTCCCTCGGGGGAAACCAACCTTTGATGTGTAAACACTGCCTTCCAGCATTTTAGTTTTGTGTACATAGAGGGATGATGGTGACCAAACACATGCCATGTAAAGACATATGGCTCAAAGGGAAGAATTTCAATATGTTGAGTGGAAAAAAATATAAAAATGTCAACATTTAAATGTTTCCTTTGAAGCGATGCAAACTTTAAGCTGAAAATTTATCATGATTTATTTTCCTATTTGTTCTTTTGAAGCCTCCACTGTGCCGTAAAGCACACACCTGCTGTAGTCTGTATTTAACTCCAGAGCTCCCTGGGTTAATGAGCCACAGAATGTGCTTTGCATTAACCCTCTGCTGGAGTTGGACTTTAAATGGGCTGGTTTCTTTTATGGACCTTTTCCACTTCTCCAAAGACAAAGACTTAAACTACTACACCACAGAAAGACTGATTGTCAGGGCAGAAGAGTTATATAAATCTATAGACTTTGAGATCTCCACACATTGTCAAATTGGCTACTACTGTTAACTTTTAGGTTAATCTTTTCTAAATTAAGAAAAAATGAAAAGTTATGTTTTCAGTTAAGGAAATGAATTAGGAAATATTTATTTTAGGCTGTCTGGACATTAAGTTGATCTACTTTTGTTTGCTGAATCAGTTAATCTGTGATCAACCATGAGCTTGATCACTAACTCCTGGCTTGATGTAGCTGCACCTGAAGCCTGGCTTGGCCTTTGTGGAATAGATGAAGCCAGGATGCACTCCCTTACGCTAGGTCTAGTCTGACTTTATTTCTTATTCTGGGATTTCTGAATTCACAATTTTTTAAACAGGGCCTAGAGCTGTTATTGCCATTTGCACAAATATACTGCTATACACAATGTCATTTCAGCTATTGTAGACTTTTCTCAGGCCCCTCCCCATACAGCATGTACTATCATTTAAGATCACAATTGCCAGTGTGCATCAGTGCATTAGTGTAAAGCTGAGCATATACAGTGCAATATTTTCAATCCTTTCACGCAGCTATAGCTCAAACTGTATGACGAAACAGCAGGGTTTAAAAGTTCACAGCTCACGATGCATGTTCTCATGCATCGCCCGAAGCAATGAGGCGATCTTACGACAGCTGACTGAATTTCAAACATTGAATTTCCTCCCGGCCTTATGCTTCCTGATCGGGAGGTGGTAGTGAGAGGCTAATCGCCTCTCGTTACCCCTGTATACTACACGACGTGTGATGAGGCTGAAACTGAAATCAGCGTATGCCCGGCTTAGAGCATACTGTTGAGGTTTCATCTCTTGCAGTAATTGACCCATAACTGTTTATCCTCCATTATCAGTGCTTACAATCGTGTTCATGTCAGGCTACAGACAGCTGTAGCATAGGAAAGCGGAGGGACATGTAAGTTGTGCTTTTTTGGACCTCTAGTATATGATGTATAGTCATACAATAATCACAACCAAGGTCAGAAGAGGCAATCCATGACTGGAGTCGACTGAGTAAAGGAAAACTTTTTTTTAAATTATTCCATTCAACTCAGTGTCTTTATTTAGCACCAATTCACAACACATGTCATCTCAAGGAATTTTACAGAGACAATTCATCCAGGTGATACAGTCAGATTGGTTCAAAATTTTCGATCTAAGGAAAATTAGTTGATTGCATCGACTTATTGACTCGAAGGCAATCCCTCACATCAAGCATGCTTGTAGCGACGGTGGAGAGGAAAACTCCCTTTTCACAGGAAGACACCTCCAGCAGAACCAGGCTCAGTGTGAGCGGCCATCTGCTGAGGCTGACTGGGGTTCAAGGAGACAGATTAGACTTAGAAAAAGAAGCAGAGCTACAAATGGCAACTGTAAACCAGCTCCAATATTCTCTCTCTTACATAAGTCACAGCCATTTAGACACCTTTGTATTCATCAGGCTACTTTTTCATCCATGGGAAAGCATTAAATGTAATCTCTATTTTTGTGTGTATAGCTTGTACGCTAACTCAATGGCCACCTTTGCACAGAATGCTTTCGTCATGGCTTTCATAGGACATGACCAAAACAGCCTTATCATCCTCTATCCACATTTGATAGGAAATCAAAATAAAATCCTTCAATCAAAGAAAGCAGTTACCAAAACATTTATCATGATCATGATAAAATGCAGCCAAAATTGTTTTTTTTTTTTCTTTTTATTCCAAATGGTAAATGTTTTCTATCTAAAGGGAAAGGAAGTAATCAGGTCCAGAATAAGCAGCCAGCTGCCCAAACAGACCGGAGGTTACGGGGACAGAGCAGAAACCTAGTAAAGAATCCCAGAAGCACTGATTCAGGGGTATCTTCTAAGTTAATG